CTGGGTCCGGAAAACCTTCTCAAAACCGGCTTCGCTCAAAAGGGTCTCCCCGTCCGGTTGCCATAAACTATAAAGTTTCATTGAAACCCAAACATTGCGCTTCTGCAACCTTGACACACAAAACTGAAAAAATGAAACTGAAAACGTCCCAAACATGGAACTGCCTGGCGATTCCATTTTTGGGACCATATGCACAGCTGTCAAAGAACAAAAGAAAAGCACTTTCACGATCCATTTGGGACTGTCTGGCGGTGCCAAAAATGAGAGCGCAAAATTGCAAAATCTACAGCAAAGGCCGACCCGTGCAACAAACAAAAAATTACAACTGCGTTTGCACAAGCAACCAGCCTGATTTCACTTGACTTTCCGGCCCAAAAATGGGACCTGAAAAGCGCACATGTGGTATCAGCTGTCTCCGTTCCCAGCTTCAATGTGGCGATTTGCGATGCAGCACCAACGATGGTGGAGTAAGAAAGGCCAATACGTCACCTTGCCACATATTTTCCCAAGTAGATTCCTGCTTCCTTTTAAAATTATACTATTCATTAATTTGTTCCTTGATCCCATTTCATGGATTGTAGTTGGTTGGAATCTTTCTTTGATCGTGTGTCGATTTCGAGTCAGTTGAATGAAATCAGTTTTTTTGGTCGGCGCCCTGTGCCTTTTGACTTACTTGTGACCACGTTACGATCGCAGCCCCGTCAGCTTACCAACTGACAGGATGGCGAAGGACTGTCGACTCCACCAACACACACACACACCCGCCACGCTGACTTCCTCCCTCTCGACCAGGCTGCACTGCAGCGAGTTACACTGGCGCGATCCAGTGGCACTCTCTGCTGGACAGTCTGGAGCGTCTGTGAGCAAAAGACTGCGCACATGGATCGTGAGTTCTTTCTCTGTGACCGCATTGTCGTAGCCACTGGGCCGCGGCCCGCGATGGAGACTGGCACAAGAGACATCTGATCCAACGTCATCAATCCTCTGTCTGGCTTACACCTATGGCACCTGCTCTTATTCTGGACATGGACACGTGACCAAGCACTCGTGAGAGGACTCTGAGAGGTTGGAACAGCACGTGTGACTTTTTATTGTCTTCTTGGCAGCTGAAAAAATTCTGCAGAACTGTTCAGATGCTCCTAGAGCGTCTTCGTCTTAGCAAAGTTCCTGCAGTGCATTGCAACACATCTATTTTTTGGCCGGCGCCCTGTGCCTTTCGGCGGGTCACCACTTTGAGAGTTACTCGTCTGCCACGTCACGATCGCGGCTTGTATTTGGAGGAAATCGATCGTGGCTAGTGTCTATGCACGGTCCTGAGACGCGCATTATGCTGTACCTCACGCGACGAGATCGCCTTCTAGCCAACTCGAACATCCTTAGAGTGGACATGACAACCGTGGTAAGGAAAAGGGAAAAACGTTCCAGGCACTGTCCAGCATGGTCAGTACCAAAAGGTTGTGCCTTTGTCTTTTGTTGTTGGTGGTTTGTGTTTTTGACCCTCAACTTGCAGAATTTGATGAGGTTTTTACTGACACTCTTTCGATCGGTCTCTCTGCTTGTACTGGCATGGCAGCTTGGCCCTACTGGTGATTTTGTCTGTGCTATTCCCTTCCGCTGCAAGCAACTCACTAACATGGATCTGACGACAAAGCTCTTGTCTGCGGTTTTATGCAGTCTTTTGGTGGTAGTCGGGTGGTTGGGTGACTCTCTGTCGGGTGGTCGGATGCTCAGGTGCTTGTGGTTAAGCTCGCGCGGTTGCGCGGGCGGGCACATGGCGAAGCTGCGGTGGCCGCGTTGCCAGCGAGGCGGTGATTGCGCGCGCGAGAGAGTCGAGGGCGGTGCGGTGCGCGGTGCGGTCCGGACGGTGCGGCCCGGGGGCTTGGATGCTTGTTTCTTTGTTTTGCTTCAATCGATTTGCTGATTTCAAGGACTTTGCGTCCTTGTACAGAGTTTTTGCTGCTTACACTCATGTAAGGACCGAGCCATTGGCGCACATCGCCACACTCGGAAAAAAAAAGGCCCGGGGGGCTTGGGTGGGGCGGCCGGGCGGGGAGGCCTGGTGGGGCGCCGGGTCGGGCGGCGGGGCGAGCGTCTGGGCGGGGCGCGTGGGGGGCGAGGCCGGGCTCGTGCGGAGGCTAGAGCGGGGGGGCCGGGGGCGGGGGCGCGGGTGGCGGGATGGCGGTGTGGTGGTGGTGGTGTTGGTGGTGGTGGTGGTGGTGATGGTCGTCGTCGTCGTTGTAGTAGTAGTAGGCTGTTGTAGTAGTTGTAGTGTAATTAGTGTAGTGTAGTGTAGTTAGTGTTGTGTAATGTAGCGTCGTATATTTTTACTTGTAGTTGTAGTAGTAGTGTAGTGCAGTGGCCTTTGTAATTGCAGTTGTAGTTGTCTATCTATATGTCTGTCTTTCTGCAAGCATCAGATCTTCAAGTTTTCTGAGATGATTTTGCGTGACAGGTGCAGCACTTCGTATGACTTGCTTCACTTTCTCGTTAGACAGGTGGAGTGGAAAAATCGCAAAACGCATTGGTACGGGGCTGTCAGCTCTGCACTCAACTTTCCATTTTTGAAGGACGTCTTGCAGAATTGCTTCGTTTTTGATGTTGTCAACTTCGAAAGAAGTCTAGCAGAATGGTTTCGTTTTTGACGTTGTCACGTTCAAAAATTAAGGAAGTCTCGCAGAATTGCTGCTGCCCGGTGGCACGCTGATCCAGCTGATGCTTCGCAGATGCCGGATGTGCCTGCATGGCAGAGATGGCAGTGATTTCGCGTGTGGCTTTTCTGCCCGCGTCGTTGCCATCGGGTAGAACGGGACACATGCAGCGATGTGCACCGCGCCACTGCTGACTGCAGCCACGACACATGCTAGCGTGTATGTCTTTTCTGACTGCACGATGATGCACTCGAGCATTTGTACTTCATTGCAAGCCCGGCCTCGTGTCTGTCTTTTCTGACGGCACGATGATGCCTGCTAGCACAGCGGCAGACGAAGATTCTTGTCCGTTGCTGCTTGGAAAAGAACACACTGCGGCAACACCGTGAGGGAGACACGTCGGAGGGATGTGCTAGATTTCTTCATGTGTTTGTAGTCTGTTGTTGTTAACACTGTAGGACCTGTTGAAGTTTCAATGTAGGAATATGAGGATCGTATCAGTACACGGTAGATGGATGGATGGGATGGATGGATGGATGGATGGATGGATGGATGGATGGATCGATCGATCGATCGATCGATAGATAGATAGATAGATAGATATATAGGTAGGTAGGTGGGTGGGTAGGTAGGTAGGTAGGTAGATAGATAGATAGATAGATAGATAGATAGATAGGGAGATAGATAGGTAGATAGAAAGAAAGAAAGATAGATAGATAGATAGGGAGATAGATAGACAGACAGACAGATAGATAGGTAGACAGATAGATCAGTAGGTAGGTCGGTAGATAAGCAGAGAAAGATAGAGAAACAGAGAGAAAAAAAAAGGAGACCTCAACCACCTTTCAATCCATCAGTGGCTTCGCTCTGCCATCCCGGATTCACAACAACCAACCTCTCCTATAGGTTTCCTATTTTTGAAACTTCCGCCACCGCCTTGTGCGGTACTACTGGTATATTTAATATTTGCAAATCCCAACATACACTGTTTGGTCTTAGTGTGTGGCCGATGTTTGGCAGATTGGCAGGTATTTCCCTGTATATGAAACTTAAACAAGATAGGTAAAGGCTAAAGGTATCTTAAAGTCTGTTAAAGTGGGATACCTTCGTCAAACAACATCTTCCCATTTAACTGCCATCTAGGGCCATCTATTTTTAGATATTTTTAGGGTGTTGATTCCGGGAATCTAAACTGCCAAACACAGCCTGAATTCGAGGATGTCTACAGAGCAGAGTTTTGCCATCGCACGGGCAAGGCGAAGAGTGAATCCACCAAAAGGAAGCAGTGCAACTGGCATCCAACGTTCTCAACAGCCCACACAGCTTGCTGTTCCTTTTCCACGTGAGAATCGACTTAACAATGTTCAACTGAAGTGACGCGGCTTTGAAGTGCGACATCAAACACCAGGGGATGGTAAAGTTGGTTTCACAGGTTTTGATTTTTTGTGACCTGCCGGATTGTGAGCACTTGGCAACATACTGTGTTAGGGCTTCAGACCGCTTGCATCCAAATCCAGACACACAACAAAAATACATGCGGCCGGATGCATTTTTTTAAAGAGTGCGTATTCAGATAGTTATACAGCAACTGCAACAACTCATGCAATGTACACATGACCAAAAACATACACTTTTTGTTTGAAAATACGTAATACATATATATATATACATATTTAGAGAGGTATCTGCAAGTTCGATAAATGCACACCGCAACAGGGGCTATGTGGCCGACATGGCGCAGAGTACATGATCCGCAACGTAGGCTGACGCCTCATGGCATTCGTTGTGGTATCGGGAACCTTTGGAATTCCTGTGCGGATCCTCAGAGACTGGTCATGGCGAGGTTTCTGCGACATTGGCTGAAATACCATCATAATACCATCATAGGTACGATGCACATCCAAGTAGTGGAGTCGGTCAATTTCTGGAAGGTGAACATAGTGTGGACAGGTTGCTGATTTTTGATCCTCCATTTCAGTGAATTTCAGTGCTGTGCACAAGCCAACCTTTCTCTAGATTGAAACCATTTGATACATCTGTTTGACATGCATATGGAAGGAGGGTACTGTTTTTTGGCGCCTGCCGCAGTATCCACATGTTCTGTCATCTTCTGAGAGCGGCAATTTTTATGCTTAACATTGCATGTCCCAACAACTTCCATTTTTGAGCTTGAATTTTGCAAGTGAAGGCATTTTTTTCGCCCGGACCACATCTATCCTATGTCAAGCAGCTGTCTACTGCTACAGATACTATGATATCCGCAGGTTTTCAACGGCATTGATACTTGGTGCAGCTGCATGATCAAAGGTTTGCAGTTTGTTGCAGTGACCATTGAGGTTTGGGTCAAGCTGACTCCAACACAGGTCACACCACTGACGCAACCTGGGCGTGAAAAGTGCCGCCATGGTGAAAGACATTTTTGGTCGAGATCGCTTTCATTGCACCAACGCAGGATGTAAATGCCTGGAGCCTCATGACGGGGGCATCAACCATGGCTGGGAGATCTTTGAGAGATGGCTATTCAAATGGAAAAATCATCCAACTCAATGTTTTTTTTAAAATAATCATGTTTGATGGGTATATTGTTGGTTTCTAGAAGTCTTCCTCCATTGGCTGCTTTTATCAAACCACTCTTGTTGGCGATCTTCCCGAAACCTCCTCGACGTGATAGGTGCCAGTTGGAGAATTCCCCAAACGCGGGTGTTCAAATTGGATATTGCTTTGTCTCAAAATGGGGATCCAAAAACAAACACTTTAAAGAGGAAAACATCGATGAACAATTGGGTGTGGGGATTCTCACTCAGTTTCAAAACAACCAGTTGTTGAGTGTCACCTGTTGCTAACTGTGGAGACACACTGCAATAGTCTGAGCCCTATCCCAGTTTCTTTTTCAATAGGCCGGCACTATATTGCTGCTGCTGATGGTGCTTCAAATCCCCACTATTGTTGATGGTCTCCCGACATCGAACGGTAAAGGGTAAAGGCCTGTTTTTCCTGGTAAAGCACATATTTTTTGTGCGTCTGAACGTGGAGTATACTGAGTATACACCCCAAATGGCAGCCATGGTTCATTTTTATATGGCTATGGATCAATACCTATAGATACCATTTTTAGGGGGATGAACATCCATTTACCAGCTATTTTGATGTGAACTACAGGGGTACCAGGTTTTGACACACTGCCATATGGAAAATGATGCTGGAGCAGTGGATTATATGGCAAAACGCTATTTTGAGAGAATGAAATCGGCAGGTTTCCTGGTTACTCCACCAGCTGGTGCTGAGGTGACGAGTTCCAAAGCGTCACTTGGCGGTGCCCGTTGAAAATTTTTCAGCAAATGGGTTGAATGAGGGATCCGAAAAAATGAAAGGTTTACCCTCTGGTAAACGTTTACATAACTATGGAAAATCACCATTTAGTTCGTGGATTTACCCATTGAAAATAGTGATTTTCCATAGCTATGTTAGTGTACCAGAGGGTACCCAAACATGACAAACATGGATTGACTGACAATTCTCCATCAAGTTCGATGACTTGTCCCTTGAAATGCCCATTGAGTTCCGGGACTTCCCAGCTGGCCATGTTTGATTGCGCAGGGCGGGTTGATGGGATAGAAAAATGCCATCCGAATCGGGGAATTTCATTGGGATGGGATCCATGATTCAATGTGTCACCATGATGGGAAAATCCGAAAAACCATTTAAGGAGGTTCTTGTAGATCATCCCAAGCAGGACAAGCCACAAATTTTGGATGGTTTATTTTGTAAGATCCCCCAGTCTCAACAGAATTGGTCTATTTCTGTACAGTAAACTATCAAGGGGGGGGGTCCTAGGTGGACAAACCTGGATGCGAAGAATAGATAACATGGGCATCTTATCAGCAGAAAGTCAACAACAGGGGCCTCTGCAACAACCAAGAGCGGATCTCACGGCATTTACGGCATTTGATTAGCAGGCAGTGGGGATGCACGCAGAAAAACAGGGGATTTCACCAACCAATAGAAGCATTGAACCAGCGAAATACGTCGAACAACTATTCCAAGATATTCCAAGTAGATCAGTTTGAAAAGGATCCGCAGGATGAGCGGTGGGCTGCTTATAATTTTCCATAGTTATGTTAATTTACCGGAGGGTACTTTCAAGAAAGGTCCTTTTGTTTTCAACATTTCTGCACCAAACCGATGGCTCAGTGATGCCATGTTGCTGTCTGTTTTAGTGCCATGGGGCACTAAAACACCAATGTCCCAGTGCACCATCTCCGAGGAAGCTCAAAGAGATATTGCGAAAGCAGAAGATGATGGGCTACTTGCCAATCACGGGGTGGTCACAGGGTGAGTTACTGCGCCCCCGTAGCAATGTGTGAAAGTCGCAAACTAAGCAGTGTTTAAAATATTGGTTGGTTCATCATGATCAAAGGAAGTTTGAAAGTCTAAGTTCCGTGTTTCGGATGGCAATGGATGTGCAATGGATGTCACAGAGCAATGGATGTCACAAAGCAAAGGGATGTCAAAGGAAAAGGATGTCAAAGCAAAGACATGTCACAGCAACTTTTAGATTTTGAGGGAAGTCTTGCACGAAAGCTTCGTTCATCTTCCACTTTCACTTTTTGAGGCAAGTCTCGCAGGAGAGCTTCGTTTTCACATCTGCCACTTTCAGATTTTGAGGAACGTCTTGCACGAAAGCTTCTTTTCACATCTTCCATTTTCACTTTTTGAGGAAAGTCTCGCATGAAATGCGTTTTGGAGAGATAGCGGATGGGGAAGCTTGTCCGGTGGACGGTTTCGAAACACGCTCGTTTCAACCGGGATCATTCCCGGATCGGCCGCGCAGCGGAACTGACAGTTCAGGCGTCTTTTGCAGCTGGACATCGTCAATCGTACTGGAGTGGTTGCATCAAGGCTGCGATAGTGATTTGTCAGCAGATTTCTCAGTTTAAAAGCTTGCTGTGTGTAAAATCTTCTCTGTGCAGAAGCTTGTCTGTGTAAAAGCTGGCTGTGTGTAAAAGCTGTGTAAAGGCTTCTGTGTCTAAAAGCTCCTCTGTGTAAATGCTTCTCTGTGTGAAAGCTTGCTTTGTGTAAAAGCTGTCTGTGAATAAAAGCTTCCCTAACTCGGTGTAAAAGCTTCTCTGTTTTGTGTAAGAGCTGTGCAAAGGCTTCTGTGTGTAAAAACTCCTCTCTGTAAATGCTTCTCTGTTAGGGCTTCTTTGTGTGAGAGGTTGCTGTGTGTAAAAGCTTCTGTGTGCAAAAGCTTTTCTGCGTAAAAGCTGGCTGTGTGTGAAAGGTTGCTGTGTGTAACAGCTTCTGTGTGCAAAGCTTCTCTGTTTGAAAGCTTCTCTCTGTAAAAGTTTACTGTGTGTAAAAACTTCTGTGTGTAAAAGCTTCTCTGTGTAAATGCTTCTCCGTGAAAGGGCTTCTCTGTGTAAAAGCTAGCTGTGTGTAAAATCTTCTGTGTGTAAAGTTTGCTGTGTGTAAAGGCTTCTGTGTGTCTGTGTGTAAAAGATTCTCTGTGTGAAGGCTTGCTGTGTGTAAAAGCTTCTCTGTGTAAAAGCTTTTTGTGTGTAGAAGCTTCTCTGTATAAAAGCTTTTCTGTGTAGGAGCTTCTTTGTGTGAAGGCTTGCTGTGTGTAAAGATGTGAAAAGGCTTCTGTGTGTAAAATCTGTGTGAAGGCTTCTTTGTGTAAAATGTTCTGTGTGTAAAAGCTTTCTGTGTGCAAAAACTTTTCTGTATAGGAGCTTCTTGGTGTCAAAGCTTGCTGTGTGTAGAAGCTTCTGTGTAAAGGCTTCTCTGCGTAAAAGATTCTGTGTGTAAAAGATTTTTTGGGTAAAAGTTTGCTGCGTGTAAACGCTTCTCTGTGAAAGGGCTTCTGCGTGTACAAGCTTCTCTGTGCAAAAGGTTGCTGTGTGTAAAAGCTTCTCTGTGTCAAATCTTCTCTGTAGAAAGAGTAGGGGTTGCTTGCTTTGGCGCAGAGATTCGTTTTTGGCCAGAGAACAGGTAAGATGATTTGAGAGCGCCGAGAAGAGCTGAGATGAGGTGAGACGAGCTGACAAGAGCTGAGGTTTGAGAAGAGCTCAGAAGATGTGAGAAGAGGACAGAAGAGATGAGAACACATAAGATGAGCTTACATGAGCTGCGGAGAGCTGAGAAGAGTTGAGAAGAGGTGTGAAAATCTGAGATGAGAAGAGATGAGAAAAGCTCAGGTGACATGAGAAGAGATGAGAACAGTTGTGATCAGCTGAGAAGAGCTGAGAAAGGGAGAGAGACATCAGATGGAATGAGGTGAGATGAGGTGAGAAAACTCAGAAGACATGAGATGAGTTGAGATGAGATGGGATGACACAGACTGCGGTGACAGTGGGATGCAGTGAGCGATTTCCAAGAGAAGCTGCCGTGCGATGAGATCAGATGAAATGGGCTTAGATTCAAAAGACACGGCATCGGCATCAGGTTGAAAAATCAAGAGCTTGTTGCTGTGAAGCGCAGGGGGCTTGCCTGTCACCCATAGGCACAGCCTTTGCTCCGCCCTATAGGCTACAAGCGCTTCAAATTTGAAACTTCCGCCCCCGGCTTGCCTGGGTAATGCTTGTTGGAGATTATACTAACGAATGTACTGGGGAATATCACAATCCAGTGGGGGAATCCCGTTCGTAACTAGCCAAGAAAGGGACGACGCAGGGTTCTGAACACAGCTCAGCTAACCCATCCCCGGACCATGAGCTCCACTATTGCCGTTTTGTTTCACGCTGCGATGCCCTGGCGTTGTCGTTGTTGTTGTTGTTGTTGTTGTTTCTGGCATCCGTAAAGGGCATTTTTCCGAAGGGACGCCCAACATGCCTGTAATATCTGTGATGAGGATTTATTCAGCATCCCAAAGATAGCTCTGTGAAATTGGCGTGGAACCGTGGCACGCCATGTTTGGCCCATTTTGAAGTTTCAGGTTAAGTCCACCCTCTTGGCTTTAGTTACTTTAGTTTGATATCAGCCATTCGATTTCCGATATGGCTACATTCAGAGGTGTTTGCTCCCACCTTGCATCCAACTTTCATCCAGACAATTGCTGCTTGAAGGGTTGAAGTGGTGGCGAAGTTGGCAACGGCCCGAAATGTTTCGCAGTCAGCCTGGAATTTAAAAATCACCCTGCAGTTGTATCAAGTGACACAAATGCCATTCCAAGCATTCGTGCTGGTAGCCTCTGGTGACCATGTTAAAAAATGGTAAACCATCTACTTTAAAGCATTTCAAGGGCCATATATCATGGCAAAGTGGTAAGTTACCAAAGCGTAAAATCTCTGACGTTCTGCTGAGTTTGTCCACCGCTCAGGATTAGCATGGAGGAGATGGAGTCCAAGTGAGCCCCCGGTCGAGGGGATCAGGGTGTCATCTGGACATAGGCATAGTAGCCCCAAAAAATTGGTAGAGTTTGGTAATGTCAAAATGCTAGACTTTACCTGCTCGGAGGTTAGTTTTTTTTTAGGATGGGATTTGGCAGCACATTCTATCCAAAGTTTTGGGGGCTTACCATGGTATAGTTATTGTGGATCATCCTCGAGCATCTTCTCAGCCAGGAACGACTCAGGACCTGAAGATATTGGTTACCATCCAGTCTGATAGTGCCTTTTCTATGCCAAGAATGTAGCAACGGAAATGAAGATATGGAGACGGGTCAACGCCATTCTCAGATCAGCGGAATGTGATTATACCAGTAGTACCGCGCAAGGCCGCGGCGGAAGTTTCAAAGATAGGAAACCCATAGGAGCGGTTGCTTGCCATTGCTTGCTGCGAATCATGGATGGCAGAGCGAACCAGTGATGGATTGAAAGGTGGTTGGAGGGTTGCAGTGTTGGGCTATCTATCCCCTTCTCTCTCTATATCTTGGTCATTCTTGGTGACCTTTCCCGTTGGAGTTTTCCTTGCGGACAGTCACCAGGTACCACTCCATGACCTGTCAAGCCAAATCCATGTACCAGCCACCAGCCGCGTTTATTGCCCTGGAAGCGGAGTAGGGGATGATCATGATGGCGTGATTTTGTATAATCCAAATCCAAGTGTATATGGAGGTGAGTGATTAATATCCATAGGATTTGAACCAGTTAGAATGATGGAAAATTGCAACATTAGTGGGTTAGTAATACGAGTCAGGGATAAAGCGCATGATTCTTGGAACCCCACATCCAAGACTAGGACACCATTGCGCTTGCCAATTCTCATTCCTTTTTTCAGGTTTTGAGTTGCAGACTTGGGGGTACCTGGGGAGATCAACAGAACAAAGAAGGGGCAGATGAAGCAATGCGGGGGCATTTCGCTGCTTTTTGGCAATGGATCGACAACCCAGGTGCTCTTGTATTCACATCAAAATCTCTGGCAAATGGATGTTCCTCCCCCCAAATCTGCAATGATTTTTGGGTCTTGACCCTGGGACCCATTTGTTTGACATCAAATCGGGAGAAAGATCAGCTCAGCTTGTGAAAGCGAGCGCAAAACTTCGGGGAGGCGGTGCAGTTCATCTCTGAGGCGGGGCACACAATCTACTGCGAGGAGCAGTTGTGATGGTTACAAGTTAGTTTATAATCCCATAAAACCATAGGTAGGTATCTCTCTACCAAACTGTAGATATTATGAGAGTATATCTACCAGTAGAACCCTACCAGAGTAATTCAACAATCTAGCGAAATCAAGCAATCACAAAATACCATAGGGGTGTCCTGTGGCAAATGCTAAGCTGCTGAAAGTTATCAGCGGCCAGGAGGTTGAAAATAATTGTGTCTTGTGGGGGCTAGATGCACGAACAGACTGTGCAGTTGTTGTAGACATAAACAAAGTGCAGCAACACTTTTGTTGGCTATATGGACATGAGTATTGCTCAAAAGGCTTGGTGCCCTTCTCTTAACGCCAAACTATCTCCTTACTGGATGTTCATCCCCCCAAATTTGTAGAACATTATAAACAGGTATTGTCCCATCCACGTCCACATTTTCAGGATTATATAACCATCCTAGCTTCGATATCCAAATTTTCATCCCGAATCCAGCCCCATTTCAAATCCAAGTGCCCCTAGCTGTCCAAGCCTTAAGGCTCACTTGTGTATGTGGCCATGATGCCAACGAGCACTCACAGAAGCAGAATGACTCAGGTGGGCCGGAGCCAACAGCCTATTTCGTATAGACTGGTGGATTTGTGCTTTTTCCAAACCTACCTGGGCAACATTTATATCATGCTTCATGTATAGAATAGAGACGACTTGCGGGTGGGTCCGGCACATCCGGTCTTGCTTGAAGCCCAAAATGCCCAAGGCCCAACGCTATCAGATGAGATCTTTCTGGAAGATGCGGTCGCGTGACGCGGTGACAACAACGGCATGTTTAAACGGTTGTTGGGATCGGTGAGAAGTAGCCAAGACTGGCCCACAGCTGCCCACAAAACCAGAGATTTTGCTCATTTTTATTTGCAAAATACGTCATCCCATTTTTGGGTACCCAACTGCGTGACTCATCCCCATCTCACCGTCGTGTGGCTTCAAAGATGACCAGGTATTGAGGTTACCCAAAACAAACTCGTGGCCAAAGTCTCAGGTTTTTGAGGATCACCTTTCAACATGATACTCTAAGCGACTCTAGGCCATTCCAAAGATACAATGCTTACTCAGCTCATTTTGGTGCGAACTTGAGATGGGTTACATTCGGATATTCCCTTAGATGTCCCTCTTCTCTGTCGAGGATTTTAGAGATACCCAATAAGATATCATTTGTGATGTCCCCAATTTGCTTGGTCTTACAAGGATTTGGTTGAATGACAAGATTCCAGAACTGCTGGAGGCTAAAATTTGCAGGAAACCTCTATATTTGGGGCCCTGGGGGCAAAGACCTATGGTTTTAAGTTTCAACCGCATGATTTCCACTACACCCACCCATTGATAAGAAGTTCAGTGCAGCCTCATCGGCTGTCCTTAGATCATCGGGTCCCTGCCCCAACTTGTGTGGAGGGACTGCTCGTAGTTCTGCTGCAAGTGAAACCTTATTTCAGGTTTGTGCGTTGTTACGAAGCAGCTACTTGTACATATATATATATACATATATACACATACATATATACACACAGGTATATATATATACATATATATATAGACACATAAAGACATACAGCATATATACATATACACGTGAATGTTGAGAAACCTCATGTTTCGCAGCGAAAAGGATCCAGGCCTAGTATAGTCCAAGCTTTCAAGTAAAGTCAGGATTGCAAATGCAGGAGAGGGAGGTTCTCATTGTTTAGAACCACAACATCCCATCATTCATCATTATTTACGTACGAGAAGCCTTTTTTTGGGTATACTCTGTTTCAACTTCTGGACAAAACCAAATGACTCCAAAATGGTTGAGCCTGGATTTTCACATGGTTAACGTCCAAGTCAAAATACGGTGAACATTCCCTATTTCTGGATGGAAATGAAGGATTCAATCCCCCAAGTCATATCGCAGCTTCCCAATTTTTCATGCTAATCCCATACCCCATTATTTACATTATACATATATATATATGAGTTCATTCCCCAGTATTATATGTATATATACATATATGTAATAAATGTATTTTCCCAGTTCAATCCCAGTTTTTCATGCCGAAACCCAGCGATTTTTCACTAACCCCGAGGTGGATGCCGCTGCAGGGCGTCTGCTTGCGCAAGGATGGCGCAGATCCACGGCCTGGGGGCCTGGGGTTGGCGCGAGCCGTGGGGGCTGGGGGAGAAGTCACCCCATCAAAGGAATTTATTTTGTTTATATATGTATATATGTATGTATATATATATATATGTATACACATCATATCATATCATATCATTTCATTTCATATCATATCATATCATATCAAATGATATCATATCATGTAATAGCCTAGTGACAAACCAACTTGCTATCTAGGATGGCCCTTCCTGTGAGGATAGACTAGTCTTTTTGTGCCTAAATTTGGACACTATGCGGACCCGTGCCGACAATCTCTGCGCTGTCGCACAGCCAATCTGGTGATATCTGGGTCAGTTCTGTTGCAACAGAGTGATTATTTCTTCATATGATTCCAAGAACAGACGAGCAGTTTTCCGGGCTCGTCTTAAAATAGGGTAATCATAAATCCACTACTCAATCATTTCTAAAATTGAGTATGATCCATTTTCAGAGAAACCCATATTCCTTGAGCTGGACTACAAGATTCACGTCGGATGATGGCTGACACCACTATAATTTTTTGGTATTTGGGGATGGATCAATAATACCTCGCAGAAATACCATTTCTCATCCATTTATCAGCTACTTGGGGGTGGTGCCAAGCATAATCCATGTCTAGTCTTGAACGGGCTGTTTGGCCCAATACTGACGGAGTAGAAATGAGCACCAAGAACCATGACAGCTTTACCCTGCGATCAGAGTAGCTGCAGATGCGCTAACCGTGTCCGGGTACAGGCGATTGCTGCTTTTCACAGGCATCTACAGTATTCTACAAAGGGATTGATCAGCAAAGAAGCTCTGAGTTTTTTTCACCCTTATCCCAGACCGTGCCACACCGTGCATCAGGGGTGTGGCAACCAGGGTAGCAACTCGCGTACTGAGGACTCCTGAGATGAAGAGATTTGGCGGCAGGGTGATGGTATCCAAGGGTGGTATGACCCCAACGATGGCTCTATGACTACTTCGCTTTCGGCATCTTTTGGGTGGCTCATGGGGCAACACTGCAACAATCTGCCATCTCAGGTTCTGTTTTCCTTCTTGGAAGTTTCTGGGTAAACTAACCTCTTCAAAGTCAGGCATTTAATTTTCAGAAGGCCACCCGTCTCTTGACCCATGATGCAGAAAAACACATACATGTATATACAATTGTATTACAATATATATATATATCAAACACTCGCATAATATTGCACTGCATTGCACTGCATTGCGCTGCAATACATACATACATACATGCATGCATGCATACATACAGACAGACAGACAGACAGACAGACACACATACACACATACATAGATAGATAGATAGATAGACAGACAGATAGATAGATAGATACATACATACATACACACATACAAACATATGTACATACATACATACATACATACAAACATACATACATACATACATACATACATACATACATACATACATACAGCAATACATACAGCAATACATACATACATACATACCTACCTACCTACGTATGTACATACATACATACATACATACATACATACATACATACATACATACATACATACATACATACATACATACATACATACATACATACATACATACATACATACATACATACATACTACATACATACATACATACATACATACATACATACATACATACATACATACATACATACATACATACATACACACACACAGACATACATACATACATACATGCATGCATACACACATACATACATACATAATACATATATACATACATACATGCATGCATACATACATACACATACACATACACATACACATACATATACATATACATATACATATACACACATACATACGTACGTACGTACGTACATACATACATACATAGATACATACACACACACACATACATGCAGACATACATAGATCCATAGATCCATAGACCCATAGTTTCATTCATCCATTCATGCATACATACACATACACAGACATACATACACATACACAGACACATACACAGACACATACACAGACATACATATACAAACATACATACACAGACATACATACACAGACATACATACACCGACATACATACACTGACATACATACACAGACATACATACACAGACATGCATAAACAGACATACATACACAGACATACATACACAGAGACACACGCACACATACACATACAGACACACATGCAGATACACATACACATACACATAGACATACACATAGACATACGCATAGACATACACATAGACATACACATGGACATACACATAGACATACATACATACATACCTACCTATAGGGAGAGGCTGACATGCTGATATGCTGACACTGAATGCAGGAAGCACCCGAGCAAGTAGTCGAATTCGAACCACTTGGAACTTTTTCCTTTGGGGGGAAATGCTACCACTCCGCCTTGGCTTCCTAGTAGTCTCTTTTGCACTAAAATGGTCTACTGGCCAGGTTCTGTTACTAAATTGGTCTACAAAAAGCCTCTTCTGGCACAAAAATGGTTTGCTGGGTGCCGCTGCAGAATGCCGCTGCAGAATGCAGACTGCTGTGTGCGCTGTGGAGCTTGGGTGCTGGCGCCGTTCCTGTGCTGTTCTGGTGAAAACTTTGTTGCTTGCAACGGTACGGGCGTGGGGCCAAAACAAAATATTATTCGCTTTTATTGTTTGCAATTTGCAATGTTTAAACCAAAGCAAAAAAAATAAACGCTAGCAGAGACCAAATTGCGGAGATGAACATTCAAGAATGATTACAGCGACTACATCGCCTTACAAAGGCGAAGGTGAGATTCAGGCGTGCGTTCGCGCAGCCAATGGGTAACTTGGGCTTGCTGTGGGCTGCAGAGGTGTCCAAGTGTGTTTTTCCATGTTGGCAAAATGTAGACCCCCAAATTTTGGACGCACCGATGTATTTTATAATGTAATTTATAATGTCTCTTAAATCCAGCACTTGGGGGCTGTCGAAGGGAATCATGTTGGCATTCTTACACCGCACAGCAGCAAATCTGAGGCAATGGACATTTTGCAGTACCTATGATGGCGCCACGACAGATGCAGGTGCCGATGCCGCAAGGGCTCTGTGCGTCGGAAGCTGGCGCGACCAGCCCAGCGAACACATCACAGCATGAGGCCGAAACTGAGTCCAGTATTGCTTCCTTTCGCGCTTGACTTTGAGCATTTGACAGTGTTTGATTTTGAATGTTGTGGCAGTCTGGTGGCCGCTGTTCGGGTCACTGATGTTACTCGTACTGTTCATGTCTTGCACAGCCTCTGCATGCCCTGGGAGGTGCCCATTGGATCAGTGTTTTCAGAACCGGCCCAAGTTTGCAACATCCCCATCTACTTTTCGGACCCAATGGATCCGCGCAACGTGGAGGCACAAAGGTGTCAAAACCATTTGAAGCACAGCAAGTCACCACAAAGGTCGTGGCAACATGATGCACCATGCGTGCTGTGTTATGAACACCACTGCCCGGGTTTAAAAAATGTGGCAGCTGAGGCCTCCTGCAATCTATGCCGCGTGGCATCGTTGGAAACCGCTGGAGAGAGGAAGTCGTTCAGATGAATTTGCGCGTGTTGTCACAGCCCGGAGGGCGCAGTGCCTTGACCCATTCGGCAATCTGCATAGAATCAACCATTGAAGTTTGAACAGAATTAGTGGTTCGCCGCACGTGTCAACGAGATCCCTACAATGCTTCGACCGTGCAGAGTCTGGATATGAGGAATGCAAGAGCCACACAGCGAGGAAATTGTATCTCCAAAGGTCCAAAAAGTGTCAGAAAATTGATGTCTACCTGCTAGCTGCGGAATGTTTCAGGAGGCCACTGGTCTCAGGCACCTGAAATCGGTCAAAACAATTTTGGCAGGCCTGAAGTGTACTGTATTCAGGGCTTTTCCACCTTTGGGGGCCCCCGCAGCTCCTCCGGCAAAGTGGGGTTTAACATGGTTTAACACCTGTCCAGGAAACGAGACGCGCCCTGGCGGCGGGCCTTCGCGCAGCTCGGAAGCTCGGCAGAAACGCAGACGCGCGGCCGAGCAGAAGATGCTGCAGATGTGCTTGGACATGATGAAACCAAGGGGTATTGAGATGCATGACAGGGTTGGTGACCACGGGGAACAAGCACCGGTGCATGCGGGGAGGGTTCACCATGAGGTTCCGGTGCAGATACCTTGTGAGGTTCCGGAGGGTTCCCGTGAAGATCCTTGATGAGGCTCAGGAGGATTCTGTGCGGTTCCGGGGGGTTGTGGTGCAGATTCTTCCGGTGCAGATACCTTGTGAGGTGGATTCATTTTTAAATTGTTGTCTAAAGGGGATCAATTAAAAGTCAACTTGGCCAACCTCAAATTTTCCGAAATTGGAGACGGATCCTATTTTTTATGTTTTGGGGGACGTTTAGTAATAGGGGGAAAGGATTAGTGGGTGTACAGAGTGCCGTACATAGCACAGGGCGCAGCACCTCCGCTGATGCTGCAGGGAAGGCAGTAAAGCTAGTAAAGGCCGCGTAATGTGTAAAGGGGTACAGGTATTAATGCTGTTCCGTGGTCAGTCATCAGCAGCAGGACCACCAGCACCAGCGGCTGCAGCCTTGCAACCCATGCAAAAAAAACACAGCTGACAGTCGCAGAAAGCACCACAAGTTGCAGAAAACACCGCGGCAGCAGCAGCAGAGATGCAGCGGCAGCAGAAGAACCCCTCCCCAATCTGGCCCCTGTTTTGTGGCCACGAAACTCAAACAACAGGCATTCAATACGGGCAGCAAGTGTGCTCCTGCCGACGCAAGCTGACAGCAGCACATATCCGTGATATTGTATATACACATACATACACACATACACATACATACACATACATACACATACAGACACATACACACACATACATACACATTCATACACATACAGACACATACAGACACATACAGACACATACATGCACATACATACACATACATACACATGCATATACATACATGTACATACATATACATACAAGCATACAAACAAACAAACATACATACACACACATACACACATACACACATACACACATACACACATACACACATACATACATACATACATAGATACATACAGACATACAGACATACACACATACAGACATACACACATACACACATACACACATAATCATACACACATAATCATACATACATAATCATACATACATACATACATGCATGCATGCATGCATGCATACATACATACAAATATAACTGTTATAATTAGTATATATATGCATGTAGATACCTCAAACATACATGCGATGCATACATACAAGCAAACATACCTGTATAGTTGTATTGCGTATGTAAATTTAGTGTATATATGAATGAGGTTTGTGATTAAAAACATTTACACATGAAAACGTTTTGCTTGCGTGGGCTGCAAACACAATTCTGTGGGACAAAAAATATGTGTCCAAACCGTCAAAATAGACAAACATTCGGCAGTTCGCCAATGTTGGCCCCCAGAAACACAATTCACAACTACATATAAGTGATTCATTTAACATTGGAATATTTATAGAAAATGTCCATCACCTTTGCTATTTGTCACTGGGGTTTCGGGGGGCCAGACCCCTTTTCTGCCGTGGGTCCCCAAACCTTTTTGAGGGCTCCTCACACAAATCCACGCAAAAATTGTCAACCCCCCTCACGTCTGCAGGCCCTTTTCAAAACAGTAGTGACTAGTGGTTCTGTGGCGACATGGGTGTCTGTCAACTTTGGGGTGCACCCAACCATTGGTTTGCCCATTGACAATGGCCAATCATTTTCATGATTTGGAACCCATTTATTTTTCGGACACCACCATATTGGAAGTGGTTGCCCATCAACGAATTGTGGCACAGAAACTATCAAAAGTGCCACTGGTTGTTGGATGACCATCCAACCATTGTGTAAACACCTTGGTCCATGGCACGTTAATTGGCGATTTTATTTTGGCAAGATTGCAGGAATTCCATACACGGCGAAACATGAGTTTGAGATACGTGGCATCAAACAGTGGTCCAATTTTCGTTGGTTATTTTTTGGTCGTGAACCATATGTTCAATCCGATTTTTTTTTGTGGTATCTAAGATTTACCATGAAACACACCATAAACATCTTTATAAATTTGAATCCTGGTATCAATTGAGTATGATTTGGTTATCTAAACTTAACCATGACAAAAAATGCCAATGTCAGTCTTTTCCTGGTGGTTCTGGGCATGGTTAATCTTTGGCCCAGGGCCGATCCCCATTTTGGGACTTTCGCCGGCGAAACTGACAAAGGATGTGGAAGAAAATGCCCAAAGTCTTCCATTGCACCGAACGACGCTGGCGAGGTCCCCGTGGAGGCGTGTAAGACCTGCTATCCATTTTGGTAAGAAAATGGCTGGATCGATCCGCAGTTTATACATTTTATGTCGAAACTGTTTGGAGCGAATAGGGTACCGCATTCCACGGCACATCCGCAAAACACGTGAGATTTGGATGTGCAACTTGGACCAATACACCCTGGATACTGTGGATGGACCAAAATCCTGCACCATTTGGGGATGGTTAAAACATGTTAAAACTGAAAAAAAACCATGGGATGTTTAGCATTTATCATATTTATCAACTGGTGATAACCGGATTTCGCTGGCTCCACATGATAGTTTGCTGCAAGCAGCGTTCGCAGGTCTATGGGCGGAACTGGATGGATCGACGCATCCCGTTGGGTGGGTGCTGATAGAAGGCACCAAAGCAGCAGCAATGAGGAGGGAAAGAGGACCACGCAACGTTCGGATGTCAAGAACACAGAAAGTTAGATACATAGACTGACATAGACCATCTGTCCTACATATGTTTGGTCCTGTATGGTATTTTTAATGGTATTTTCTGCTGTTTCATGGTGTTGTATGGTATGGATTTGCCTGGGAATTGCGTGGAATTGTTGGGACTCCCAGTCCCGGTCCTCGACGGTCCAGTCAACTGTAATTACAGGGACACGGGAAGCCCCTGTTTGTGGAGGCTTCATTTCCTTACTGGTGCGTTTTGCGCAGGGAATGGATGGGTTGCTAAAGGTTGCTGGGATGATGACATCACTAGTGATGAAATGGATCATTCCCAAAAATCCCCTGCGTTTAGCACCAGTAAGTTATTGTGGAGGCTTCTTTTCAAATGCACAATATGTTGACCATCGTACATTCAATATGTTTGACCGCAGATCAATCATTCAGTCTGACGTGTTTTTTTTCAACAAGCTAGTCTTTTCTTGCTGAATCCCAATGAATGATGGCAACACCACTGGTTTTGACGGTTGAATTCTCAGTGTTTGGTCCTTCAAACGAACATTTCAGACAACCCCGCTCGGCTTGTTGTTGGTTGCGCGTGCCCTAAGTTGCGGTGGCCCAAAAGTTGTGGCACTCTGTGGTCAGTGTTTGCCGTCCAGCCTGCCAGGGATTCTAATCTTTACTCCCTGGGCCAACCATGGGCTGAACTGTGGCCCCAGATTCTTTGTCCGTAGCAAAGCACGAAGTCTCCAGAGAAACTGCAAAGCTCCATGTTTGTTTTGTCCCAAGACTTCTGCAACTAGTCACTCCCTTGTTTAGGACCTCATTCCCGGTATCAGATATATCATATATCCCTTTTATAAATACATCACTCATATCCCATTACACCACCATTCTGGCACCATATATTGATTCATGCTATCTATATTACATACACATGACTTGCATCGCCATGTACTTTGGGTGCACCTACTATCCTCACTTTCCAAGCGCGCTTGACATTGGCGCAGGTGCCCCAAAAGAGTTGAAGATCGAGGGCCCGCTGCTGCGACCAGTAGAGCCGGTGGTGGAAAACCAACGCGGCAGATGGGGTGCAGACATGGTGGAAGATAATCCCAGAGAATGCAACTGGGTAGTTGTCGTTAGAAAGCCAGATGTAATGAAATATATTTAAGTTATACATTATATAAATTATATATATATAGACACCGTATGATATAAGTAACTGAGTCTTAGCAAGTTCGTGGGAGGAATGTGCTCGTGGGGGTTATTTCACCCAAAGGATGTGGTGTTTGAAATCGTCAAACATCGTGTGAAAAAACCCTGCAGGGTAGTCCAAAAAACCAGGGTCCATGGATGGTGATATCAACCAACGGGATTTCACCAACAAAAAAAAGTGGCATTCTAGCCTGGCGAAAATCTTGGAAGATTTACTGGATATACCGATTTTTTTTCCACAGAAGATCACCTGTGGACACCTCCAATCTGCCCAAGGCTCCTAGGGTTGCCCTTTGGCCCGGCGGCCGCGCACAGCGCGTCTACGCTGCAACTGGGGCTTCCTGCCAGGCTGTGGCAGGCCGGCAGCGAATGTGAAGCTCGGAGTACTCCGAAGCTACCCTCTGGTAAACTAACATAACTATGGAAAATCACCATTTTCAATGGGAAAATCCACTATTTCTATGGTGATTTTCAATAGCGAACTGTTAAATTACCAGAGGGTATTCTTTATTTGGTTGATTTGGTGTAAAAAAACATCCAAGTATTGAGGCAAGCAATTTTGACCTGGACCCAATTTTGACATATTTTGACCACTGGTTGGTTTGATTTAGGGGTCACTAGCCTTGGGCTGACATTGCTTTAGGGATGGGAAGCTGTCAGATTCTGAATTCGCATTGGGCAGTACTTTCTGGAGATTTGACCAATCGCAAAGGTTATTCTCCACTAAGGAGATGGTCCAGCCAACCAGATTACAGGTGAGTATCCCCTTGGTACATTGGTACCCAATTTTGTAGCATTTCTACAGATTTTCAATGGCTTAGTGGAAAAAAACCTTGATCCATAGCCATGTGAGGAGTATGTCACTGGGATCATGCTACCAGGAGCAAGTGGTTGGTCAACATGTGGGAGCCAGTCCGACATGGCCAAAAAAATTCTTGGTCTTCAAGTCTTCAAGCATCTCATTTTGCTTGGATAGTGGAGTTTGATCCTTTGATCCATCCCCACATCATAAATGGTTGAAGCCTAGTTTTTGATTTGTTGACTCCTCATTACTGGTAGTAGACTCTCCATTGCCTGTTGATCGCCCGAGCCCTTTGTGTAAACCGTCTCTGATGAGTGAAGTCTCCTCCGATTCTTTATAGTTCCTTCCCGTTTTGATCGGTGAAATGGTCATTGGAAGAAATCCGAGTTCATTGGTGACATTCCCATTTGATTGGTTGGTCCAATCTCAAGTTCTGACCCTCTAGTAAGCGTTTACATAACTATGGAAAATCACCATTTTTAATGGGTAAATCAAGTATTTCTATGGCCATTTTCAATAGCAAACTGTTAGTTTACCAGAGGGTAGTTTGTGAAACTCCAGTTGGTTGCTGAAATCTCTTTTCTTTCACTGCTTGAATCCTCGGGCAATGGATGCAATGGATGCAAGTGATACCCCGTGCCTGGAGGTATCTGTGGAGCCTTGTTGGCGTGCTGGAGGCTGACACCGGGGTCAACCTTGGTCAATGGTAACTTCACCACCTGACAAGTACGTCTTTTCATTGGTGGCATATCTAATCATGTGGCCTCATGGATGACAAGGCTAGGAACCCACATCAAGGATGTGTACACAAGATGCTTGCCATAGCTGCAGACATCGTTATCTGTACCATTTTAGATGCATCTGAATATCTGAATTCTGACCTGCGGTGCCTCTGGTCCAATTTTTGAAGTGCAGGCATGGTGTGCACCGGCGCAGAAGGCCATGGGTGTCCGAGTCAGCCTTGGGCCTTGGGTGTCCGAAAGAATGGCAGGAGCCATGGACCGAAAGGATTTTCCAAGGGTTTTGGTGGGGGATTTTGCTTTCCCATCTTTAGGGGGATGCTCCACCTTTCCGAGCCCAACGATCAGCGTTTTACTGGCAAACTTCAGCTCCACATCCCCTGGGTGCGTTTTATGGGTCGACATCTCTGTGGATGGGCTTTTCAAACTGACTAAGAAAGAACTATCCTCTGGTGATCAAACACGGCAATCCACAATTTGCCTGGATATATAGATGATTTCCCATCAGCACTCTCATTTATAAGGGAGTTCCATTGCCATCTTTGATTATCGAAGGGTCACAACAAGGATCTTTGTACCGTAACCACACATGTTAGTAGATTGCTCACATGGAGAGACCACTGTGATGCTAGCCGCTAGCCTCGTTTTCTACGATTCTGGTGCAATGGTTCAGTAGGTCTGACAATGACTGAACATATGTACCCCCAAAATGTATGTTTGCAGAGCAATGACCGAAAAGATAGAAAGGTAAATCAGAATACAGATAGAAGGGGATTTACCTGATAATATCATATAATATCATTTTCACTATAGACATACAATATTTTGAATCCCTTTTGAAGATTCTCCAGACATATTTTTTCTGCCCAGAGAAAAACCGTGTCACGCCATGGTTGATCCAATTGGACCAGGTCCGTGGCGTCGACGACACGACGTGTCTTAGATGTGTCCAAGGCTCGTATACCTCCATCGACAGCCGTGATTGATTTCGCCATCCGAAACGGTCCGTGATAAAAAAAATGATCACGAGATATAATGGCTTTATATGGGAAATATAGATATAAGGAATACTATAATTTAAAAAATAGTAACTATGGGTTTCAAGCAGTAAACCTTGATATCTGATGTGTATTTGACTTCTGGTTGATAGGTAATTTTTTGGGGTGATGGATGATGTTTTTTCGTCTATTTTTTAAGGATGGCCATGAATCAACCACTTGGGATTGGATACAGGCAATTTTTCATGGCGCAAATCGGCTCACTACCTGTACTTTAGCGACTGGGAAGAAGGGTCTCCCTTTATCAATGATAGATCCTACTGTGAATCCCAGAGGTGTTGCCGTGTTGCCGCAATTGGGGATCACTTGCACCATCTATTGCAGCAGCTCCACTGGCAGCACGGATATCGTTTCTGATGACCAGAACGGTAGTAAGCACAACATTTCCTTTTTTCACAGAATTGGAGGGAACATTTTCAGGAAACCCCTACATTTGATGGTAAAACCCATGGGTTTCCGGTTAAGATTTTCCCAAGAAAACCAATCCATGGATTTTTGCTCACCACCCTTGCTGGTTGATCTCATTCCTTGCAGGTGATCTTACCATGAACCGGCCACACCTCCTGGCTCAAGCACCAAAAATCGCGCCGAGAAATAGACGACTTGCTGCAGCTTCCGCCCATCTCGCGATGGCCAAGAAAAGTGTCACTGCCACGTGGCTGCCACGGATGAAGTGAAGAAGTTGGGGAAAAACACATGGCGATGTGAGAAAATGACCAACACATCCATCAATGACCTGGCTGCCATATATACAAATTTACATCTGGATTAATTATAATCACCTCACGTCGTGATGTTGCTGGAATGATGGTTAGTGGGAATCATCCCCACATGGCAGCGTTTCACAATTATAATTCAGCCAGATATATTTACAGTAATTAACATGTATGTATATATATATATGTATATATATTATATTATACATAATACATCATATATATATATATATATATATATGACTTCAAGCACAGAAGTGTCATTGAATCTGCCGCTCAAGCTCTATGTCTCAAGGGTACTGGTCCATTGTCCAATTTGTTTTGGAGGGTGCCCGCACAAACGCCTACGGGTGGGGTTGTCCAATCTACTGCACCCAACCATCTCTGGCTTTGGTTTCCCTTTGCCTTCTTCTTGGATTTGCCTTGGGAATCACTGCCCTCCTCCTTGCCCTTTGGACTTTCTGGACTGGGCTTGCTCCATCATTCTTCTCTTCCCCTTCTGGGTCACCTGCTGCTTCATCTCCGGGCACTTCCAGGTATTCAGCCCTTGCTGGGTACTTGCATGAATCAACAGCCAGACGGCGAAGGAGAGATTGAACTCCTTTGCAAGCTGCGCGACTTGCACATCACCGTGCGTGGGCCATCAGCATCAGCAACCAGCTTTATCAGGGACATCACTGCTCGTCCTGCTGCTTCTCCTCCTCGCCGTGCTCTTTCCGAGGGATCTTTTGACTTGGTCTCTGAGGCTGAGCTGTCTACGAGATTGCCTTCCCGTGTGGAGTCAAGGGATCAGATCGCTGCTTCTTTTGAGCGCTGCCCTAGCTATCTCGAGAAGAACGCCAAGAAGCTCAGCGGCTCTACGGTCTCCGGATCGGAGCGTGTCAAGCGGGCGTGGACTGCTGGTCAGTGGGCTGGTGCTGTGTTGGCTGGGCGGATTTCTACTCCCAACAGGACACCGCAGATTGACCTGCGACCAAGATACTACGCTGTGCTCAGGGCTTCTGGTTTGGGAAAGGCGACAGTCTTTAGATCGGCTCGATCATACTGGCAGCTGGTGGGAGAGTTGGAAGGCTCGTCCTCAGTCTCTCACTCCTTCCCTTCAGAGCAGGAAGCGCTTGTGTACCTTGCTGGGGCAGGCATCTCTGACTTCGAGTTCCAGCCTTAGAGATGGATACCATGGATGGCATGCTGGATATGAATGCTCTCGAGGTGGCAACAGAGGCTCACACCTCCTATGTCCTCTCATGGCTACTAGGGGAGGACGACGATGGGGAGGCAGAATGCTCGGTGCATGTGCTTATGAAGCGAGAAGGTGGTGTCCTTTTAGCTTTGCCCGGCGCATTTTTGCCGGAGGGGATTGTTTCCGCAGGGAACCTCGGCGAGGAAGGTGCGGTTTTTGGTCCTTCCTTCAGAACAATCGTCCCCGCAGTTTTGGTGGAAGACGGCGTGGTGTCAAACACAGGAGACAATGTAGAGGTGCTGGTGGTGGACTGCCTTCCAGAAGTCTTGAATCATATGAGACGGCATCACGCCTCAGAGGAGATAGCATTTTCCTACGACGAGGACGCTCCATTCAATGTGCCCTCGTTGGATGCCCTGATGCCTGCAGTTCGGTCTTGGTTGGAAGGTGTCCCAGACTTAGCATCGTTTTACACGCCAGAGGAGGAAGACCTGACGCCTGTGGCACGCCCCAAAAGACAGCCAGGAAAGAAGGCTACGCCTACCGGAAGTGGCGTAAAACCCAGAAGACCTACTACAGCGGCCCTGGCAGTGGAGATACAACAACTGGTGGAGTTCATGCCAAAGCTCTCTCAACAGCTTGCAGATCTGTCCCAGAGGCAGGACCTGGTGGAGTCAAGGATTTTGCCATACCAATCAGCATCTTCAATAGCATCTCAACCACTGGGGAAGGCTTTGGATTTACAGCCTCCTCCACCATTGGGTGCATTGGCAAAAGCTGTGGGAGTCCCTCCACGGACAGCTACGGGTCAGAGCCTTGGTTTGTTGGCATCAGTATCGCCGCCCTCAAAGCCTGTGGATGTGGAGGTGCTGGAAGCAGAGAAGCCGGGCCTAGCCACTGGGTTGTCCCGGAGCGAAGACTCCTCGTTAGCCCAAGCGGTGTTGGAACAGTCCCGGGCCCTTACCTCCCTTGCGGCTCAAATTGCATCACAGCATGGGGACCCTATAGCAGAATTGAGTGGCCCGACAACGGGCACCAGAGGAGCAGCTGGGCGTGCGAAGCTCCAGGCGGAGCTAGCACTTCACCGGGGGACCTTTTTCCAAGCAGTCCAGCAGCAGATGGCGAGGCGCATGGCACCAACTTCCTCAGCAGATATGGCCCCCTCGGCCCTTCTCTCCCGTGGCATCTCTGGCCTGCGCTACCTAGAGAGATTCGGTGGCTACGGACGCCAGAGGGAACTTGGCCAGCTGCAGTTTCAGGTGATGACAGCCTTCGACTTTCTCATGGAGGAGAATATTCCAGCTGCCAAGGACACTATTGCCCTCCTGGCAGTCTCCATAGAGCAGTCATGCCTGGACAATGGCAGAATGGACCTTGCGACCCTCTTGTGCTTACAGGAAGACCCTCCCAGCGCAATTTTCCAGAACAGGGTCTTGTCGGCCACAAGCCGGGCGAGGTCTTTCGCTCCTTTAGCGGATCAACGCTGGGTCACTTCGTCGCTAGCCTTCCTGAAGGAAATGGAGGTCATCACATCGAAGAGGGCCGAGTTGACAGGGGCTACCAAGTCCACTTCAGACACTACGTCAGATGCGCCAAAGCCGAAAGCCAAGCCTCAGCCAAAGCGAAAAGGCAAAGGAAAAGGCCAGGCACCAAACGAGGAGGCCGAGCCAAGCACCTAGACAACGAGCAGCAACTGCATGAGAGCGATGTTGATCATAGCACAGATGGGGGACCGGAGTCAAGCCCCCTTGATCAGCGCTCAGATTTTGTTTCATGGGCCATTTGCCTGCCCAGATGGATTGCGAGATGCCGCACAGCTCTTTCTTGGCATCTTGTTCGAAGTTTCACTGCCTCTTGGCGAAGCCCTTCTTCGCCTTCCACGACTTTTCCATTGCCTGTACCACATCCTGGGTGCTTTGATGGCGGTGGCCCCACTTTATCAAGGAAGAGGTTGCAATCCTTGGCCAGACAGAGGGTGCTCCATATCATCACCTACTGCCTGAATTGCCTGTTTCTTGGAAGGCACCCTACGCTTGAGGAAATTGGGAGGAGACCTAACAAGTGGCAACTTAGATGTTTTCAACGTCTGCGGTCTCTTTTGGTCGTGTGTGGAGAATCGGACCAGGACTTTCCCATTGTCCCTGGCCGCTCCGGTCCTGAATTAGGTGCAGCACTTTTTCAGCTTGAGAGGTTTTTGGTAGGTCACCCTGAGCTTGCCGGTGACTACGTGACCATCAAACCTACAAAGTTTGCTGATGATCCTGACCTTTTGTCAATACAGAAGCATCCTGAACTTGCCCCATACAAGAATCTTGATGCTGACAGATTGAAGCTGGTAGGAGACGGTCGATGGCCCATGGCAAAGTTTCTAGATGGCCCACTTTGGCTCCCTTTTCTTGAGCCGCGTTTCCTCCTTCATGGCCAGGACATTAGCAACAAGGACATTCCAAACTTCGCCTTTGAAAACCGTGATGAGAACTTGAAGCTCTGCCGTATTTGGGATGCTAGGGGCCTGCTGAGATGTTTTCGGCGGCCTATCATAGCTGAGCACTTCTCAAGGGTCTTCAACGCCTACAAGTCAGAGAAGCAGGACCGGCAGATTGGGGATCGAAGAATACCCAATGCAAGGGAGCGTTCAATCGATGGACCCTCCACGAATTTGCCCCCAGGGTTCCTGCTGATTAATATGCGCCTGAAGCCCTATGCAGAGCAGCTTTTCGCCAGCATTACGGACAGGCGGGACTACTACCATCAGGCAGAAGTTACGGCAGAACGGGCTCAATCCAACATGCTTCCTTTTGCTTTCACTTCTCATGAACTTCATGGACTTTCAGCTTTCTCTGATGCTCTGCTATGCGAACGGTCTTCGAAGGCTGGAAGGAGATCTAGAGAGAAGGTTGGTGACGGTTTTGGTGGTAGTGCCTGTCATGATGACTATGGTGATGTTTGGTTTGCGGCATTTGGCTCACTGTTTCAGGGGGATCACCTTGGCGTCGAGTTCGCCCTGGAGGCACATGAATCCCTGCTCAAATCTCAAGGCCTTCTTCTTCCTGAAAATCGGCTACTTGGTCATTGGACTTTCCCTGCTGGAGCTCACTTGGAGGGGCTCATCATTGATGACTACTTCGCCATCGGGAAGGAGAAGGTTGGTGCTGTTCCTGCTTCCACGTTTGCGGCGCGTGCTCTTGCGGAAGCCAGGACTGTCTACCAGAAACATAGCTTGCCTGGATCAGTTGAGAAAGACATTGAAGCCAAGTCCACCTTCAAGGCTGCTGGTGCGGAGGTAGTTTCTTCAGACCTTGCGGTTGGCAGGGGAATCACAACAGTTGGTGCTCCTTTGGCGAAGCGTCTGGGCTTGTCTGTCCTTAGTCTACGCGCTGCTCGCTTGTCATCAACTTCGTCCCGGCTTATTTCAAGGCTTGCGGGAAACTGGACTTCAATCCTGATGTTTAGGAGGTGCTTCATGTCGGTCATTGATGAGATGTTTGCTCTGGCAGCTGATGCGGAAAAGACAGGGAGGAATTTTATCGTATCCCAGTCGGCGAAGGTGCGCGAGGAGCTGATGCTGTTGGCCGTTTTTGCCCCCATCATCTGCACAAACATTGCTGTTGACTATTGCCCCTACGTATTTGCGAGTGATGCTTCTTTAGGGCGTGGCGCAGTGGTCTCCACGAGTGTTTCTCAAAAAGTTTCAGAAGCTCTGTTTTTGGGGAGTGACAAGAAGGGTACGTACTCAAAACTTGAAGGTTCTCCGGGCCTACTCCTCTCTGCCGTTGGTGAAGAACATGCTGACGATTTGAAGCTTGCAACTGATGTGCGACATGAAGGCCCTGAAAAACCTCTGCTCTTGTACTATGACTTTGTGGAGTTCTTCGGGGGGTCCGGTAGAGTTTCAGCTGAGGCTCAAAAACTTGGCTTGGTAGTTGCGCCTCCCTTGGACTTGGACTCTTCGGTGCACTACAACATTGAGAACCCTCGCATGTTGGAGTGGTCTTTTCACATGATTGAAACTGGGCGTTTTGCATCATTTTTGAGTGAACCGTTCTCTGCAGCTGCCTATCCAGCTCTGCGCTCCTACTCAATTCCTCTTGGATTTGACCCTACGGAGCCGAGAACGAAGCACGGGAACTGCTTGGCTTTGAGGTCGTTTGCTCTGCTTCGACATGGCAGAAAATACCGGAGGCCTTGCGGAAAGGAACAGCCCAGGCTTTCAAAGATGGCTTGGTTACCTCAATGGCAGCTTCTTCTTGACCTTGGATTCGAGGAGTCGGTCATTGCCTCCTGCCAATTCAATTCACCGCACAGAAAGGAGTTCAGGTTTTCTACGTATCTTCTTGATGCGAAGTCTCTGGAAGTGCGTTGCCCTGGCGGACATCAGCACCTGAAGATTGAGGGGAAGCACACCAGGCCTTCGGCGGTCTACACTCATGAGCTTGCCAAGCACCTTGCGGCACATTTTGCGGCCGCCCTGAGGCGTCAAAGATTCTCTGCGGATGAGGAGACACTTGATGGCTATGAAAGCGTTGTTACGAATGACGTTTTGATCTCAAGGCAGTTCACCTGCGTTGCAGACTGGGCTTGGCGCTGCAAGAGTCACATCAACGTGCTGGAGTCCCGTAGTGCTTTGGAAATTGTGAAGCTGGCAGCAAAAAGATTTGAGTCCTGCAGAGTTAATGCTTTACTTGACTCAAGGGTCGCCAAGGGTGCACTCTCCAAAGGCAGAAGTACAGCTTGGGGTCTTCAACGAGTTTGCAAGGCCTCCGCGGCTTTGCAGGTTGCTGCGGATGTGCACATGGGCTGGAATTTTGCGCCTACGCGGCTCAACGTTGCTGATGACCCAACAAGGTCTGTGATAGTTAGGAGAGCCACCTCCTGGGGATTTTCAGATTATTTTTCCCTTGAGGAGCTTCAGAAACTGCACTTCAGAGGACTGTCCAAAGTTGGTGCGAATTGGGCCAGGGTAGTTATCCTCCTCTTCCTGTCCAGCTGTTGTGATGCAAGCGCAGTTAGCGGGTTTGGAGGTTTTGGTGGCAGCATTGAGGGGTCTGATGTGCAAGAGAAGTATTCGAATGGTGTTGCACCAGCTTGGCGCCAGGGAGTTGTCGATGCTGTGACTGTTACTCCCATGTTTAGCGAGTTGCATGCCTTTTGGACTTTGGCTTTCCCATCATTTGACTATCCCTATGGACTTTCATCCCTCATTGCCTCCCACGTCCTTTCTTGGATTTCATGGATTTTTATCTCATCGGTCTGGACTTCCCTGGCCCTTGCCTCTTGGACTCTTGGATTTTCCCTTGGATTTCTCTGTCTTGCGGGTCTCCAACGTGTCTGGATCGGTGGTAGATGCAGGGGTCTTGTTTGTGTCTTGTCCCTTAGTTTTGCGGCCCCCGAGCGTTGGATTTGGGCGGGCCCGACTGTAGTTGCAGCCATGGAGCCTTCGTCAGCGGCTGATCTGCGTCGTGCCGAGTATCGAGATCCACGGGGCATCATTCCTACAAGGGTTGCCAGAGAAACAACGCTGATTGCACGGGAGAAACTGCTAGCTGATTTTGGTTCATGGCTTTTTCAAACGGAAGGTGTGCTTTTGACCCCCTTGCTCACAGCGAAGCCTTGTGACCCTGAAGAAATCTGTAAATGGTTGATACTGTATGGGCAACAGATGTTTTTGACTGGTAAAGCTTACGGGAAGTACGCCGAGACCATCAATGCAGTTGCCACAGCGAGACCAGCTATCAGAAAGCAACTCTCTGCTGCGTGGGATTTGGCCTTTGCTTGGTTAGCTGATGAACCTTTCCAGCACCATCCAGCGCTTCCTTTGTCCGTGATGCTTGCCATGGTCACTACAGCAATTTTGTGGGGGTGGCCGCTGGAAGCCTGCATTATAGCTATGACTTGGGCAGGCATCATGAGGATCGGGGAAACGCTGATGGCAACACGTGCTGATTTGGTTTTGCCTGGAGACTCAGCTCCTGGCACCTCTTTCGCCCTGCTGCGAATTCGGTCTCCAAAGACGAGAGGGCGCGCGGCAAAGCACCAAGCCGCTCGCATCGAGTTTCCAGATGTGGTGCAGCTGTTGGAAGCAACCTATGCTAATTTTCCTGTGGATAAGAAGCTCTGGCCGTTTTCAGCTGCAACACTGAGGAAAAGATTCACAGCTCTGTTGAAGGAGTTGGGGCTCCCTACAACAAGAACTGGCGGCTTGCGACCGCTGGACCTTGGATCTTTGAGGCCGGGTGGAGCGACCTTTTTGCTCTTGGCAACTGAGAACATGGATCTGGTGCGCAGAAGAGGCAGATGGGTCAGCAACAAGGTGTGCGAGATATACTTACAAGAAATTTTGTATGTCACGTATACGGAAAAATTGCCTGGCAGGATCCGTGACCGCATTGCTCTTCTTGCAGGCGCCTTTGAGAGAGTGTTGCAAGTCGCGATCAAATTTCTGCAGACAGGCTTGCCACACAGTATGTGGCACACCGCTTTCATTGCCCAAGACGACGAGGAGCTTGGGGCGCATGGGAGTCATGGAACAGGTTTCAGCAGCAATAGCCATAAGACTGGCTATGCTGCCGACGGAATCCATATGAGGCAGTGAAAATAGAGCGCCTGATGCTTGACTTCAAGCACAGAAGTGTCATTGAATCTGCCGCTCAAGCTCCCCACCACATGCTTCGCTATCCCGCCCTTGTCATCGTCTGGGCATGGAACAGGTTTCAGCAGCAATAGCCATAAGACTGGCTATGCTGCCGACGGAATCCATATGAGGCAGTGAAAATAGAGCGCCTGATGCTTATATATATATATGTATATATATATATATATACACGACAGAAACGTAGATGCATCGGCCTTGAAAGATGAGGGTTCATGGATTTTGTTTTGATGAGTCTGAGTGGTTGTGGGTGGTTGCTCTGGCTTGTGTTATAGCCAGACAACAGGGCCTTGTTGCTGGGTAACTGAAGATGTCCAATTTATATGTAGTTCCATACACATCTAGTTCGATACGTATATAAATATAATTGTATATATATATATATATACATACATATCGCAACAAAGAATCTTTTCTTGTAGGAGAGCCCAGTGTGACTTACACGGCTCAGTAGCCCTAAACTCCCAGAGTACATCGTGGCCGTGCCAAAATTTCCATTGTTTCTGCGCAAGAAATGGCCGGGAATCCAGGATTGACATCAGCCGAGATGGGATTCGAAAAAATGGTGGAGTTTTAGGATTTGGCCACCGAAGCACCGTTTTGCACCAAGAAACATCGCTGGTTTTTCTTGGGGAAACCCCATCCGATCCATCCGAAGACGTCACCGACGTCAGAGCTCCCAGGTGGTGGGAAGCGGCAATTGGGGCATGGCGATTGCCACCATCATTGCAGGCGGAGCCTGCCGCGTCGGATCTTGCCGCATCCTTTGTGGGGATAACGCGGCTTGAATCCCCATTGGTCATATTGGGAATGACTGATGGTTCTGACTTTACCATATGACTTTTCGTCGAAGTTATTGTTTTGTTTCTGTAATATCCTAGAATTGGAGAGATATAAGACTGGCTAAACAACATTGTAGGATATCTTTCAGATTGGCAATGATGTCTAAATCCATAAAGCCGAATTTGTGTCATGCCGCCATTCCCCCCAAATTGGATGGTGCACTGATTCAAATTTGAAAAGGTGGAAAGGATGGTTGGGTCCAAAGAATCTTGACCCATGTCCACCCACATCAATCTTTCGGTCCTTCCCAATGTTGCAGGCAACACTTCCAGACATCCGGAGTTCGAGGATACTCTCACTGCAGCTGAACTGCAGTTGGAGCACAAGTCCGGAAAAGGCAAGACTCAATACAATACTACAATACATACTATATTATATTATACTATATTAACATGTATATATACAATATAATATAATAAAATATAATATTATATTATATTATACTATATTATACTATATTTGCGGATTTTTCGCAGGTCCTTTTTTTTGTTCGCATCCATAGCTACGGTGTCCGGCTCGATGCTCAGCTGTGATGTGAGGACCTACTTGGATGCGCACCCCGGAATCATTCTGACTAACCAACATTGTAAATAACTATATACACTCTGGTAATTTAACGTAGCTATTGAAAATGACCATTAATAGTGGATTTTCCCATTAAAAGTGGTGATTTTCCATAGCTATGTTAGTTTACCAGAGGGTACTAATATCAATAAAAAATAATGATAACAGTATGCCAATCATAGCAATAGTAATAGTAATAGTCACAATAGCAACAATAACAACAACAATGATAATAATAATAATACAATAACAATGATAATAATAGTCATAATAATGCTATATACACATTGAATCGAACATCTCCCACATATCACTTCCGGGGGAACGATGCCTTTGTGCTTGTTGACCACTTCTGCCCGGGTTGCACCTCGAAGTAGATCCCTCATACAATATACATACATATATATTATAATTATATAAGTCGTATGTGTATGTATAGATATACATGATAGATATATATATATATTCATATATATATATTCATATATGTATATATGTATATATGTATATATGTATATATTCATATATGTATATATGTATATATATGTATATATATGTATATATATGTATATATGTATATATAAATATATACGTAGATATATATATACGTATATATATATATACACGTATATATATATATATACGTATATATATACATATATATATATATATACATATGCGTATATGAATATATATATATTCATATATATATATATACATACTCATATATAGCATCCACGAAAGGATAGAGGAGGGTTAGATTGACCACTATATCAGCATTGGATTTACCAGTTTTTCTATCTTTCTTGGGAGTTTGCTATGCGTGCAGCGAGGTATGGATGTTCGAAGAAGAGGTTCAGCACAAGGGCGTGAAGAGAAAGCTGTCGGAGGTCTTCAACGAGACCAAGGTTGCTGGCTGAAGGGTAGGTGCTGCCATAAAAAAACCTAGATACATGGTCAGAAAATAGGCCTCAAATGTAAACATTTCGTACATGGCATGGGGTTTATTGGGTTTACCACTGGAGCTGAGGAAGATTCGTTGAAGTGTTTGGGGTAGTTGGCTAGCCATTACAAGAGATCGTGAGATGAAAAGGTTTAGTATCTGCGATTGGCCATGTGGGGAAGCGTAGGGCCAATCTGGAGCCCATTTCGACCTACTGATGATTTTGCAATCTTGGCATTCTTTGGGTTGATCATTTCGGAGCAAACATGTGTAGATTTCAAAGTGATCTCATTCTTTGGGTTGATGTCGAACCTATACCCACATGTCGGCCTGTTGATGCAAGTTGGAACTCACAATCTGTCCAAGGATTTTTTTTTTGTTTTGCCAGCAGATTTCCAGTGGCCTAGCGTTGTTTCGCTACGGCCTCTGTGAAGGCTTGCTCACTGTAAGACCCTGGGAGGCCAACAGGTGAATCAAGAAGTCCTAATTTGGAGATAATCCACGTCCGCAGATAACCAAGTGATGCTGTATTGAAAATGTCCACTTTCTAAAGGGATGTGCATGTGATAAAACCTTTGACCAACCTTTGGCACCAACCAGTTTTACAAGTGAACATGTTGGTTCTAGTTCTTTGCAAGTTGTGTCTTCTTGCTTCAATGGTTACAAGACGGAACTTCAGTCCCAGGCAACCTGCAAACTGTTAAATTAGCAGAGGGTATTCCTCTCCATTCCCAACTCCCAACCAAAATTATTTCACCATTTAAACAATAAATACCATCAACAAAAGTATAGCAACTACATTTTAGCTAACCGTTAGTTTGTAAGACTGTTCACGACATTAGTAAGATTAGTAAGAATATTTACTCCTGCAGTTACTACAACGATTGTTGTTTATCAAGTAGATACTGTGGACGGAAGAAATCGTGCACCAGTTGGTAGATGGTAAACATCCCCTTGAAATCGCACTATTGGCACTTGTTCATCGGAATCCCAATAGTTGCCAACTGATGCACGATGTGTTCCATGCACAGTATACACTTGATAAAAACTATTGTTGTAGTAACTATGAATATTGTAACTATTATTACATAACTACATATTACCCTCTGGTTATTTAAAAACATCTATTTTCATGGGCCATTTTCCATGGCTATCTTAAATAATCAGAGGCTAATCATGCTGGACCCGTGCTCTCCTTGCGGGCCGGGCGCCGCAGGAGAACGTGAAGTACCTGCCTGGCATCACATTGCCAGAGCATGTGAAGGCCGAACCCGACCTCAAAAAGGCCCAGCGCGGTGGATTTCCATGGTGGATTTCCATGGGGTGAAAATATGTTGGTGAAACCCTAGGAAACCATAGGAACATGTAACAACTAAAAATGGTGGATTTCCACGGGAATTGACTTGGCAAAGTTGACGCGCATTAACGTTTGGGTTAACGTTTGGGTTTATGGGGTATATAGCTGGATGTCAATGGATTTGTAAACCAACTTAGAATGAGGGGGAGCCTCATCTTGTAAGGACCCCAATAAGAAACCCCAGTATGGGAAACTTATGGGAATAGATAATAGAGGTAGCAACATTGGGAGTCCCTATTAATTCCATGGATTTGATAAAGCAACAAGAATGGAATGGATTGGAGATCTCCGAAAAGAATTATAAAGATAGGCATTTGAGGCAAACTATCCACTAAATAGTGGTGAATTGCTTTCCTATGTTTTCCATAACTTCCGGGTTTCCAACTTTTCCCAGCTCAATGAGTTATAAGTTGGGTTTCCAGGAGGATGTTGTTTCCTCATTATCTCCAGGTTTGCACAACTTTTCTGAATCTAAAGGTGCTATTATAAACCGACATTCCATAAAAATCTTGGGGCTAATGTTCTGAGCCATACCCAAAGGGGAATATGAAGCAACAAAAACGGTAAAAACGGGAGTTTATCCGCCAAGAAAAGGGGCTTAGAACAAGAAGTACGGATAGTGGCTTGTTTGCTGGTTTCATTCAGCAATTATGGGAAGAAGTGGACAACAGACCAAGAAACACAGGATGAATATATGTATATAATCTATCTATATATATATAAGAAAATCCCCCAAAAAGGGAACATTACTTCATCAACAAAACTGTTCTTGTAGGTATGGATCATGAGGTTGGGCACCTGTTTTTTGAATGAAAATGATCACGCGCACCCCATTCTGGAGCCATACCCAATTCTGACCTGGGAGCAAGGTTCAGGGCCCTTCCATGGAAATGTTTAGGAAATCTTCCGGAGACTTTGTAAGGAACTTGCCAAGGAATATTGACATTTAGAGGAGCTTTGAAACGAGTGCAGTACTTGGAACCATCTCTGGTTTCCGCCTGAAAAATAGGAGGATCCAGCACTCAAAAAATGGCTAAAAACCAGCTGCAGGCAGTGATGTACGCAGATGTCCTGATTTGGGTCTTGCCCCATCAGTTCGTAGTCTGAAGCTCAGAAACGGAGCGGCCAAAGATGGCTTCATATTGAGAACCACACCAGATGAAGATGCTGAGTAGGTCAATGTTTTTTTTATCCCAAGGACAATCCATGTATATATACCCTTTGGTTATTAAACCACCATTTTTAATAGGTAAACCATCTATTTCCATTAGGGCCATCTATACCATGGCGAACTGTTAGTCATGACCAGAGGCTAAATCTGCTTGGTGCTTTGACAATCTTTGACATATGTTTTTTAATCCACGGAGACGATGATCCGCATTGGCATCCCTTGGCGGCCTGCCCTCAGGCGCGAACCGTGTCGAACATGGGGAAGATTAAGGACAGCTGCGTTTCGGTGAGCCCGGAAAGCCCAGGACTGGGACGGGAGCCCACCACTTGGTTGATGTAAGTTATGTAAGTTATCATGGCATAATCCATCATCCATAATCATTATGATTACATATGATAATTCGTGGCACTTTTTTTTTTTTATCATCACCCATTATGTAAGTTTGTTGATCACCCTTTTTGTTATTTCATCGATTTATGATATGGCATGGCATGGCTGCCACGAATAAGCCACGATTTTTGGGGACATGGCGCCCAGTTCCTAAGTGGGATGATCATGATGATCCTCCAAGTACCCAGAATTGATCCCTAAGCGAAAACCTACAGGAAACCGCCAAAAATGGGAGGCAAAATGGTGTTCGGTTTGTCTCCCTTCATTCCATTGATCATATTTTTTTTGATCTGTTGATGAGTTCCATCACTTTTTCATGCTTAAATCCATATTTTCACGTTTCAATCCAACATTTTCCGTGGTTTTTTGTTCCACCTTCCTGGTTATTTCTGGAGCTGAGGTCTGATCAAGGGTGGTTTGGAGTTGGAGGGCGGCAAGCTGGGCTTGTGCTCCGACCTGCTGCGAAAGCTCCTGGGTCATGAGGCAGGCAGAGATTTGCAGCAGTGAAGATATGGAGGTTTGTTTGAAAAATGACCCCTGTATAGTTGATTTTGCTATTCCAATGATTTTCCAGTTCGCTAAGTCATGGGGGTACCCTCAAATCATCTATTTTTCCATAGGATTTTCCATGAAATAAACCATCCAGCTATTGGGGTAGCCACGTGACTCAGGAACCCCCCATATATGAGTTTGTCTGAAAATGGTGTATACCCATTTATGGCATTTTTAGTGAGGCAAATCGTGATGAATTGATCATGAAATTCGGGGGGCACCTGATTTTTAGACAACACCATATAACTGTGACCCAGAGGAGTCTGATTTAAAATTCTTCACCAGAAGCTATCTGTCAGGATTTTACCAAACACAAGCTTCCAGTCATTGGATTGAGGGAAAATCTGCAGGAAACCATGGTTTTTACCATTAAATATGGGGGTTTGCTGTAAATGTTCCCTTAAACCAATCCATTGAAAGCTGGTGAAACCGTGGTTTCACAGCGATTTTCCATCAAAAAAGATCTCTGGGATGATCACAACTCCAATGATCCCCATGAAATACTGGTAACTTCTCTGAACGTCTGCTGTGGCATGGAGAGAATACTTCTGTTTGGGTGCCTGTTTATGATGATTTGGTTCCAGCATCGCTGGTGCGGTAGTCTTTTGGACCATCCATAGTACAAGCTCCTGGGCAGATTTTTTGGGGTACCAATTTCTTGAATGCGAAACAAAATCAGGGCGATCACTACTTTTTTCCTTCCTGGTCTCAAAGTGCGTTTGAAAATTGGATCCCCCCAAAATTTGATGCTTATTATCATATTGTTTTCCATTGTTTTCCCTTTTAAACTGGCCATTTGGAGGTAAACGCCATTTGCACATGTGTGCAGGTTGGAGTGCTCATGGGCGCCAACGTTGGGGGGCCTCGGTCTCCGATTTTAGATGTTTCAAAGACCCAGTGGTTCATCGTTTTTTTTTTGGAGCCTAGCAATCTACCCTGGCTTATTGGTATATTATAATTGTTGGTTGATATCGGTCTAAAACGCTGATGATTAAAGTTTCCATAAGTCCGGGATATCAACCAACTTTCGATTGTATTTCGTAAGGGAAAGCGAGACATTTTATGGCATTGGCTCCTTGCGCAACTTGCAAGACGTGGGAAGGGAACACAGAGGCACTGGGATCCCTGAAATGTAGAGGAACTGAGATATGAACCATCCAAAGTATGCCGGTTCTGGGGGGTCAAAATGTGTTTATGACCCATGTCATTCATACTATATTATATATATATATCAACCTACTAAATACAACTATCCCATTGATATGTAATTTAGTACTCATTGATAGTAACTATACTATAAATGAATATCCCATTACAACTTACTTATTAACATATATTTCTATATTCTGACGTGATCAATGTCCCATGAGTTTTTCATCCCATGCTAGGTGGCCAACGAAGTGGCTGCTGGGGAGTTCTGCGAAGCGACCTTGGGTATTCAGGCCCAGCGTTTTCCATCCAGGTCAAAATATGGAGCTTTCCGAAGTCATGTGGGGAAAGTCATCCAACAAACTGGTGATAATCTGTTATAATCAATGGGAAAACTTCAATGGTTTGGGGCAGCCATCTTTTCTGAAACCTCCTAATTTGAGGGTCCTGGCATTTTTTCCCACGACCTTTTGGTGCTTACATGATGATTACAGAACCCCCAAAAAGGCGATATTTGGCTGGTGAATGCTGGGGAACAAATTGGCCACAACAGTTTTGGGTTTCTTGGTGTCTTCAGTTTCTGTTGTCTAGAGCCCGGATGTTTTAATCACTTTAAATTCACATTGAAGCTTGGGGTATCTGAGAACACCCAGTATCATGATCATCCTGGATCTCATGGTATGAGGTTGATCAAATGGACCTTTGTTTGGCGTTTTGGGCCTTGGAGCGAACCTCAACCCCAAAGCATCCGAAGATTTTTCCCACCGGGCCACATTTTTTTTTTACAGGACAAGAAGCACATGCAAATGCTCGTGAAGTTGCACCTCAACTGCGTTCAAGTTGGGGGGGTTTTCACATCACTTGAAGTTGGTTGTGAATAATATGGGTTATTTTCTTTCCAAAAGGCCAGGTCAGCGGATTACTTGCCAAAGGTGATGAGATTTTTTTGGGTTTTACTTGCGGACCACTCCGCAGTTTGGGTCATACAGTACAGCTCGTATGGGTAAATGGGGATTTAGGGGCCCAAATGAGAAACGTGAGAAACCACGAGGCTTTTGCAAAATTTCTGAGCAAAGCTGGAAGTTCCCATGGCACGAGTTAGTCAGCGCTGGAGATTTTCATGCTGCGGTCATTGAATCTCTATGCTCAGCTAGAGCAGCCAGTTGAGCACTCTCACTTGACTGTTTTGTGCAGGACATTTTACTTACCCTCTGGTTATGACTAAGATAGCGGAAAATCACCATTTTTAATAGGTAAAGCATCTAATTATTTCTATGGGCCATCTATACCATGGCTATGTTAAATAACCAGATGGTATAAAAACTTGAAGATGAACATCTCAGTCCGAGTCAAAAATCGAGGACGCAGGGAACCACAATGTTTGGTAATTCTCAGTCTTACTCATCCAAGTGTGGGCTTGTCTGAAAATAGGGTAGCCGAAAACAAAATGATGTTTTATCCATCTTTATCATCATCTGCTCCACTATAATTGTCATTTTGGGGTATAGCCAGTTTTCAGACAAACACATTTCCATAGATCCATACGTTCAATGATAAAAAACCGTTTTATTTGGTTAGTCTCCCATTTCCTAGCTGTTCTTAGCAACCCAAACCAGAATATCTTGTGCAGTCATATCCCATCAACAAATCATGTAATCCATATTTATCTCCCCCCAAAAACCCCGCATGGTTGGTTAGATATCTCACTATGTGAACTCCCAGAACCACATGGTTGGTTTTTTCTTGGACGAGATCTGACCCAGGTTTGATTGCCGCACCTTCCGCGTCACCGCTGTGGATGACATCCCAGGAGACGAGTTTGAAAAATCGCTGGTTGGGATCGCTGAGGTACCCAGGTACCCCAAATGGTAAACGTTCACAAAAAACAATGGAAAAACACCATTTCTAATGGGTAAATCACCATTTTTAATGGGAAAACCATGGAAAATCACCATTTTTAATGGGTAAATCAACGAACTTTCTATGACCATTTTCAATAGCAAACTGTTTGTTTACCAGAGGGTACAATGGAGGAATACAAAACAAAGATAAACAAAGTTTAGCTTGGGAATCAATGAAGAACAACTTCACCAGTTCTTAACTGAGGTGCCACCTGTGTTGTTTTTGAAGATCAGGTACCACCACTTAGATGAGGTACTAAGTAATGTTAATCCAGCACGAGTAAACCCCTAGTTTGTTTAGTAGGGATGTCAATTTCGAATCGGAATGTAGAACACTATTTTGGGGGTCAACTCCCCAATTCATCGCCTTAATCTGGAATTTTTCCATTGCTTCACCAAGATTTCTCACCTCAACCTTTAGCTATGGGAGTAAACATCACCATTTTTCATATTTTCTCATCCACAAACAGGCCATTTTCCATAGCGTTTTTTTTTTTTGAGTGCCAAAAAAAGGCGACTTTTTTGTTGCCGCTGTCACCTGAGGAGTCGAGCTCTGCGGTGCCTTGAAAAACGTGGTCGCGCTGGGCGCAGGCCTTTTGACGGCAGAGCCATGGGGATTCCATGGATTTTTTCCAGAAAAAAATCCGATGGGATTTAGGGATTTCACTAGAAAACACTGTGAGAAGTTGCCAGTTTTTTTTTTTTTGTGGCTGATTTAACTATGGTTTATGGTAGATATAACTAACATGATATTTTTCTATAGTAATATTTATTACATACTATGACAGTATATATAACAGATTATAACAGCTATATTAATTATCATTTTATATAACACTATATACTGTTATATAACTGTTATAGTACAATAAGTCACTATGTCATAGTACAATAACCACTGTCATATATAACTATCGTAATATGTCACACATTTTTGGTTAAACCGTACAGCCACATACAGCCACTATGACAGCTGTCAGCGAGGCTTCTGCGACGGCCTGGACTATGGAGGCAACACCAAGGCGGCCTTGATCCGCATCGGTCTGCAGGAGCTGACGCGGAGCGGGTTGGCCGATGGCTGGATGAGTTGGATGATGGCCCAATTTTAGTGGTTTATAGAAAAGCCATAGAAAAGCCATAGAAAAGCCATAGAAAAGTAGTGGTTAAGCCATACATAAGCCAACAAATACATGGATAATCATCGGATAATCCCCAGATATATAGTGGTTTATACTGGGGATTATCCATGTATAAGTGGAGGCATACGAGGTATACAATGTAGAAAACCCCTTTCCCATCTTTTGAAACCCAATGCAGCCAACAGCATCATACATTTCATCACAAACAACCACATACACACACCTCTCTCTCTCTATAAATATATACACATGTAATCAGACACATTTTCGCCATAGCATACCACATCATTTCACACAATCAATTTCCTATACACATTCATCACAGCACACCATCATCATATGTTTCGTCAGGTTGTGGTAAAATTAGACAATATTTTGTTGGGAGAGGAAAGATGGGAAAGGGGTATCTACCAGAAAAAACAACATAAACACCATACACATTTCACAGGAGTGAATGAAAAGAGTTTACTGAGACGCCACTCTCGCGTTGGTGTTCATCAACCGCATTTAAACGTTTGACATCCTTGTCTTCTCCACGGCCACAAGTCTCAGCAGGCGTGCCCCGATGGGATGGGATGGAACATGATTCAACATACTCAGTTCACCAATATTTTTGGATGGGTCAAAACCTATCATTTCTATAGACGAATGGGGGCTGAATGGGGATGAACATCCATTTACTAACTATTTTAGGCTTCACCAGGGTACCGTTTGATTTTGACTCACTCATTTTGTTTTGCAAAGCCTACCAGACTCATATGTTTTGCAAGGATCGGCTGGCCCCAGCAACCATTCCATCTCAAACAGATGTGTGTCTTATCGACAGTTGATTGAACATCGATGATTCATAGGGATTCCAAGAAAGAGGACACAGTCACAACAACATTCACCAAACTGGTCCATCTTGAGCTTGCCACAGCCTGCATTGACACCCCGGTAGTTCTGATGGGATCTGCGCAAAGCAATGACGAGAGCGCGCCCCACGCTGCACCCGAAAGCCAACCATTGTCACCGCCGCCAGAAGTCGCCACAACCCAAAGCCCACAGTCCCCACAGCCCAAGCCTGATGCTGTCATGTGGCGCATCGGCCCCGGGATGAGTTTGAAGGATTTGGGCCTTGGAAGGCCGCAATTCGAAGAACAGATCGGAGATGTCGGCCCTTTCCTGCAGCTTTACCGTGAAGGGCCTTGGATTATCGTGGAGAACATTTCAAGCTTTGCGCTTGGGATACTGCCCCAAGTTCGGCGGGGCCGCTTTCTCCGTGGCGATGAAGAAGGGCTTTCGCAGGTCTTGGAACCTGGCGAGACTTATCAGCTGCGGTTTTCAACAGACGAAGAGCACTATCGCATGGGCTATGAGTCCCATCTTCCGCATTTTGTTTGCGATGGCATATCCAAGAGGGTCGACCCGACCCAGATCCAGTTGATCTGCCAGCCTGCTGCTCGCGATTCCGACGGGTGGTACTTCATGAGTGGCAAGGATGGTGTTGGACGACCAGAGGTCTGGCTTGTCTACATAGACTTTGCAAGCGTTGCAGACACTATCGGCTGTTACGGCTGTTATGTGAAGCACCAGCTGATACAGACCTGCACATTCTTGGATACTCGCCGGCCAGCCAGGAGGGTTGATCTGCCTTTGCAAGAGATTCGCTTTTGTCAAGACAGTTGCGGGCAGGAATTTCGTGATGGCAGAAGTCTACAGTCCACTGTACAGCAGCTGAAACAGGGTCAAGTGACGGTCGCTGAGCTTGGCATTCGGGTTGTAGCCTTGGAGTCTGTACACTTTGCCCTGGACAATCGCCGCCTAAAGTGTGTAAAGTCAGCCTTTCCGGCGAGCCAGTCCATCCCGGTGCTGCTGGTAGATTTGCGGGAGCCTCGTATCAAGGAGGAGTGGGACTCCAAGTTCACTGCCGGCAAACGGATCTCAACTCATGAGGAGGCCCGGCAGATGGACCTCGCTCCACAGAATTCAAAGGGCAAGGGCAAGGGCAAGGGCAAGAAGGGTAGAGGCAAGCCTAGGGGCAAGAGGGAGAACCGGCCATAGTTGGGTTCGGCCTGACCTCGAACTTCAGAAGTTTCAGCAGCAGATGGGAGCGGTGGCTTTTTTAATTTTTGATGATTTTTGCAGAGTTGAGCTGATCACACAAATGTGTTCCAGTGTCACTGCATCTCATAGTGCCAGCGACCAGAAGCTATGCTGAGCTTATTTGGCATTGGAAAAAGAGCCTTATTTTTTGGCAGTGACTTCAACCAGAGCTTGGAGTGTGTATTTTTTTACCCAGCAGTGTCCAAACCCTTACCATTTTGCCCCGCTTACCCCTTCAACATCTGCCATCCTGACAGGTCTTGTACATCAAGTCGATTACAACCGTCAACAGCACCATCCACCAGCACCACAAGCCTCAGGTACAGCACATGATGCTAAGCCCCAACATCTAATATCTGGTTGGTGGTTTGGAACATTTTTTATTTTTCCATATATTGGGAATAATAATCCCAACTGACTAATATTTTTTGGAGGTGTTGAAACCACCAACCAGTAATATTTTCTGGACAAGTTGATAGTGTAATTTTCAGCATAGGGCTCCAGCGGGACGGGGAAAGCTGAAGGCTGAAGTGGAGAAGGGTTTTGTAACCTTTGTTGGTTGATTATTATAGGGGATTGTACTACCCAATTCAGTATATATATATATGTTTCTACGTCCCACGTGGATAAACACGAAACCAACTGATTTTCCTTCTAGCTTGTGGCTTAAGGGCACTCTTTCTTGATGATGAGTCAATTACATATATATATATATACACACACACATGTTTTATTAGATTACATTGGGGATCATCAAAATCCATTGTGGGTATAGCTATCAACCAACCAGTATAAAGGGACAACAGAGGATTTTCAACACTGCTCATGTTTAACGGGTCGGTTTTGGCGGGACACCCCAACCAAAACCACCGTATAACTAGGCATTAGAACTGGGAAATTCCTACAATCACTGAGTGGGACAGCCACCCATAATTTTATGAGCTAATCACATCCCATTTGTATGGGTAATCCACCCGACAGCTGGTATTCTTACATTACATGCCATCGATCCCATCCAATTTCGGGAAGACCTCCCTGGAATGACGATCAGCCAAACCATAATTTGACATGACAACCTGCCATCATATCATATACATGTACATATACATAATACATATACATATACATATACATATAGATACACATACACATATACATATACGTGTATATACATATACAAATATTATACTGTATTATATTATATTATATTGTATTATATTATATTGTATTATATTATATTATATTATAGTATATTTACATTATATTGTAGTATAGTATATTTATATTTATATTTATATTTATATTTATATTATATTATATTATAGTATAGTATATTTATATAATATAATATAATATAATACAATATAATATAATATAATAATATATAATATATAATACATAATATATAATACATAATATATAATATATAATATATAATATATAATATATAATATATAATATATAATATATAATATATAATATACAATATATAATATATAATATATAATATATAATATATAATATAATATATAATATATAATATATAATATATAATATATAATATAATATAATATAATATATAATATAATATAATATAATATATAATATAATATATAATATAATATATAATATAATATAATATATAATATAATATAATATATAATATAATATAATATAATATATAATATATAATATAATATAATATAATATAAATATAGTATAAATATAATATAATATAATATAATATAGTATTATATTATATTATATTACATTATATTACATTATATATTATTGCATTATACTATATTACAATATTATTTTATATTTTACTTTATTGTATATATGTATATATATATAATGTTTATACATGTATCTGTACAACCCCTTGTTGTACATAATTTTGGTGAGGTGATGGGTGCAGATTGGCCAGACATAGCTTGCGATACACTCTTTTGAATTTAGCACATGCATAGGCCGCAGCGACGGAGCTGCATTGGCATTTCACCCCTGTGGGGGCCATTGACGGACCGACCCGGCTCGAGAAACTCCTGGTTTGAGGAGATGAAGACTTTCATCAGGTACTTCTACCCTGAGGCCGACTTTTTGTGGGGTGACAAGGTGGCTGGGGTCCTAGAGGTCTGAGGTAGTGTAAAGAATTGGCCAATCCGGACTTTTTGGGGCCAGTGATGTTTGTTGAACCAGAATGATGCAGCAAAAAGACCTACCACCGGACATCAAGATGGCGGGATTGAGGTCAGGATTCAGATACCTATTTATCAGCTAGCCTTGACGAAAAATGTTGTAAACCTTGATGGGGGCGGGGGAGAATATCTCAGTCCTGAGACATGCTGCTGGTAATGTGCTTCATACAGTGGCTACGTGGAACTTTGCAATATTGGCCCGTTAGAAGTTGACACGATCTTAACCCAACCCTCAGCGCGGTAGCAGCAAGCGCCTTCCGCCTGTGCCAAACAAAGGCTCCAATATTTGGTACCTCCGCATCCCCAAACAGATGCTTCTTCGCAACAGATTATTCGCTGCATTTCCGTGTTACTTTCGTTTAAGGAATAGACTCTAGACCATTATTATCATGTTTCCGGAAAAACTAGACATGATCCTCACAAATTCAGAATATTCCAGCTGCTCATAGGTTCCAGATGGTTCCAGCAACTTTGGACCGCAAGTCATCAGCACCGGTGCCCCATGACCAGCCTACCGACCGGTGCCCCATGGCCACTCGGAGCGGCAGCCTGGGCCGGGCGCGTTCGGAGGCGGCGAAGCTTCCGGCGGTGTCGCGCAGGGTGGGCAGTTCCCCACCGGAGAGGAAGGCCATGGCGGCCATGGCGGGTGACGCCTGGGCTGGAGAAGTTGTGGGTTCCCCAGGTGATGGCCCATGAAAATCATGAAAATCATGGGGAAAATGAAGTTTTTTGATGAATTTTGAAGGCATGGGGTACCATATTTTGGGACCGAATCAGTGGGAATGGTAAGCCATCTTTACCCAGCTTTACCATTTGGGGCGGTGTTAAAAACTATATGCCCAAAAAAATACGATTTATCATTTGCATTGCCCCGATGAACATCCCAAGAACGAAGAAAATAACTGAGATGGGGATGGGTCAAAATTAAGGACCAGGGGCACCACAATTTTTGTTTTTTTTGAGTGTCAACTATCTCATTCTGGGGCGCCTAATAACTTGACCCATACCCAGATGTTCATCCAATTTTGGGAGGATTCATTCTGGCCCTTGGTCAAACTTTGGCATGTGGATCACAAAGGGTGAATAAATATGTTGGCGCCCGGGGGAGCAACCCCCACTGTCAGATGACCGATGTGGTCTGCCGACCTGGTCAGCAGATCGATTCTGATGATTTGGGCACCCCCCTGAACCCCCAAACTTGTTTAGATATGTTTAGATTCCATTCAGCATGGCCAGGCCCCAAGCAGTCAAAGCACTGACAGATCTTCCAAGTTGCCTTCCATCGCTCTGGGCCCCGGTGTTCCCAGCGGTTACCGCGCCGACATGGAGGCGCGGCCCAAGCGCACCCCGCCCACGGGAACCCGCGGGAAGCCGCCGGCCGGCCGCACCCCAGCAGTTTCCAGCGCCGCGGCATCGGCGCCCGCGGCGGGAGATGCGGTGGATTTGAAGAACTACGTCAGTGATGAACTGCGCAAAGTCCTGGAGGAAGAAGAGGTGGGGATGGATGGGTCAATGGGTAGCAATTGCGCATTTCAACGAAGAATGGAACATGATGTGAGAGCAACAGAATGCGGCGGCAGTTTGAAGGTGGGTATATGATGGTATATGGTATATATCGTATTGTAAATTGGAAGTGGATGATTTGTTTCCGGTAACTCCAATTGCCGTGACTTGATGTTTGAATTCGATCATTTCCATGGGTCAAAAATCGTTGTCAGGTCTCCTACAACTGGCGCCGGAGGCCCAAGCCGGTGGAACAAGCTCCAGCGGCATCTGGATCCTCCCAGGGGAGACAAAACCATGGCGAGGTCAACAACTCCAAATCGTCGCCGCCAAGTCGAGCTGCCCCAGCCCCAGCTGCGTATGCTGCGTCGGCCCCAGCTGCGCCACCGGCTGCGCGGGGCGCGGGCTATGCAGGTGCGGTTGGGGATGCCATCCAAGCGGTCGCAAGTCAACCTCTTCCGTCATAAAACTATACGCCCCACATGGTCCATAGGTCCATAGGTGTTTGAAAAACTGGGATCCCCAAGGTCATCCTGGGCATGGTCAAGTTGCAGGCCACATTCGTCCCCTCATCAGCTTTCTTGGATACCCATCTCTCCCACAGTCCTATCTCAGGTGGCGTCGTGGCCTCGCTTCAGCCATGCTTCTGTTCGAAGTTGGAACCCTCCCAGTTGACTCCCAAAATCCGCCTGGTCTCCTATGATGGTGGCATAGCAATGCTCATGGCTGGTCCTTTGTGTGGCGCGGCGATAAGAACATGGAACGGTTGGAGAGCACAAGATGGGGCTGGATGTTTTGGGCAATCAGAACCACTGGGTTATACGTCTATATGAAGCTATATATTATATTATATTATATTGTATTATATTGTATTGTATTATATTGTATTGTATTGTATTATTATATACACATACAGTCAGTATACATATCCCATCCCAAAAGGTCACAAAAATCACAAATCATCCATATCTCCAGGTTACGAATCCCATCCCCTCATATTTCGCACACCGAAACCGGTTCCGTTGGATGGGAAAAAAATCCAGTAGCTGGGCTCAACCAACCAGATTTCTCAAGGATGGAAACATCGATTCACAAAAATGGGCAGAAATTTGTTGTGCATGGATATCGCCATGGGTATTTACCTTCATAATTGGGATATAACCCCTATGGTCAAACATCTGGATTTTTTTTTCTCTTCCATGTGATTGTTTTCCACATTTTGAAGAAACACTGAAGTCAAAAAGACGGGATGTTGGTGAATATATTCATTGTTAGTGAATTATCCCAAGTATATTCTTTCCAATTTCCAGCGCATATCATCATTGGTGAGTTTTAAATTGCAACAATCTGGGGATGATCAGAAAAAGTCAAGACGTCCGTCTTGAAGTTGGGGCCAGGATGGTTGTATACATAGATTACCCTCTGGTAAACGTTTACAGTTTGCGAACTGGAAAATTGCCATAGAAAGTTCGTTCGTTGATTTACCCAGCTCTAAAATGGTGGATCTTTCCATGGTTTTCCCATTAAAAATGGTGATTTTCCCATGAAAAATGGTGATTTTCCATGGTTTTTGGTCTGTTTACCAGGCCGGGTCATGTCGGTGAACCACTTCCGATGGGTCCAGGTAGCTCGTCCACAAAGACGGCTCCACCTCCACGATGGTTTTTGCGCTGGATCCAAGGTGGAGCTCTAGAGATGGGTTGGATCCATGAGTTTCCCACATGTTCGTTTACCCTCTGGTAAATTAACAGTTCGACCCTGGCAGTTGTTGGGGTTGGAAGATTAGTGAAACCATTAAAACTAGGCTATTTTTTCAGGGTCCAACTGTTAATTTACCAGAGGGTACCCCCCAAAACTGATAGGGTGAATTTCCACTGATCGACGGCTATCAGATCTATCAGTTTCCCATATATCGGATGTGAGTTTACCCCAGGATGACCAGCAAAAATCGGGCATTTCACCAACAAGAAAGTTTTTTTTTTTAGAACACATGAACCAATATCAACTTGGAAACCAAGTACCCTAATCGTAAAATGTCAAATGACACTACAGAAATCCATATACAGAAAAAACAGATGTAGGGCCAGGGCTTCAAACTGTTGCACCCTCATGTTCATGTAAATACTTAGTCCCCAAAAGTACCACTGTTCCAACTGCTTTGGCCAACTGTCTTTGTTTTAGCTGTGTTGAAACCACCACGGCCGGTCCCTATTTGTGATTCCATGACTATAAGCCCCTGGGCTTATCGGTTGCAGTGGTGCCATCAACATACAGTACATGCCACGTGCCGCAAGGTGATCAGGTTGTTACCCTCTGGTAATTGAACATAACTATTGAAAATTGCCATAGAAATAGTTGATTTACCCAGCTATAAATGGTGATTTTTCAGTTCGCTATGTTGGTTTACCAGGTACTTGCAAGTGGGCGTTGCCCACTTTCTAGTACGAGCACCAACGCTCAGAAACGTACGTTTACCACGAAACAGATCCGGTGGTCGTTCCATCCAACTTGACCATGGCACATCATGGCACTGTTTTTTTGGTTTTTGCAGACTATATTCCAAGTACAGATGGTTAAATCAGGTTAAATCATGTGAAAAATCCATGGATATTCCGATGATCTCCTGGTTTTTCGGCCAACAAAAAGACATCCAAAAAGGGTCAAGCTCCAGTTCGTTAGCTAAGTTGGTGCAAATAACTATAATAACAATAGCGAACAATAGTGTATGATACGTAAATAGCTGCATTTAGATGGGGTTTTCTCAACCAACAAACATACCCTCTGGTAATTTAACATAACTATGGAAAATCACCATTTTATAGCTGGGTAAATCAACGAACTTTCTATGGCCATTTTCCAGTTCGCAAACTGTAAACGTTTCCCAGAGGGTAACTTATCTTCCATTATAAGTTGGTTTATAAAGCCCATGAAAATATCCATTAACTAGTTCGTTATATCTACCGTAATTAATAAACCATAGTTAAGCCAGAGGGTCACAGGGTATCCATTTTTTAATGGGTACATCAACTATAAATGACAATTTTCACTAGCAAACTGTTAGTTTAAATGACTATTATCGAATCATTAATAATCATTAATCACCATTATAGAATCATTAATCACCATTAATCACTATTAATCACTATTAATAAACCATAGTTCCTGCAGGTCGCAGTTCCAGCAAAGTCTTCAGCCTGGCGGCAGAGGATTGGCTCCGAGCTGAGTTGGGCTCCATGGAACCGTCTCCAGGCCGTTGGGGGCCGCGTTGCGGTTCCAGGTGGAGAAAGTCAAGGACCAAAAAATCCCACTGTTTTGGCAACAGTTATAATACTGTAGTTATATAAGTTATATATGGATATATATATATAATATGTATGTATATATATAATTATATATCTATATCTAAATCTTGTCCCATAAAGGTGTGCCATCATGAATTATCATTACCCATTGTGTGACTCTAAAATCCCATGATTGACTGATGATATTTATAGGGCGCCCCATGAAATGATTACCCTCTGGTAAACTAACATAACTATGGAAAATCACCATTTTTAATGGGAAAATCCACTATAAATGGCCATTTTCAATAGTTATTTGTATGTTTACCACCATTTATAGTGGATTTTCCCATTAAAAATGGTGATTTTCCATAGCTATGTTAAATTACCAGAGGGTAATTTTGCTCCAGGTGCGTCCCGCGACGTGCTCGCCGGGCTCGTGCCTCCCAAAGCGTTGCTCGCCGGGCTCTTGGGCGATCCATCGCTGAACGCGGCCGGCGCGGTGAACGGCGCGGGGCTGGTGGACACTTGGGACATCTCGACTCGTTGGGGGCACCAGAAAACACCTTCAAAGTGGGGCCCCCGTTCGATAGCTAAGTTGGTTCATAACTCCAATAACTATGGTTTATGGTACTTATAACTATAGTTACTGGGGCGAATCTAAACCAACTTATAACTGGGGGGCCCCACATTGTTGAGATGTTGGAGATGATGGGTTTCAGAGTTTTTTCTTACTGAGATGGTTAGAACAGTCACTGTTTGATGTTCATTTTTGGGATGTTGTTGCAGTTGTGCATGAAAAAAGTGTGCGTTCTATGGCGCATTTCCATGTGCTGCAATCCTGCAACATCCTCCTTGATATCCCCAATGTACTTGGTGCTTGTTGATTTCCCCCATTGACATTGCTGATTGTGTGTTAAAGTTTGATTAGATTCCCGTTGCATTGTAGTGAAGTCGGCACGATCACACTTGCATCTTCTGACCTCAAATGCCTGAAGTGATCTCTTCCAGTCATGATGGTTTGTGTTGTTGGTTCTTTTGGCTTGATCACTGACATAATACAACCTGCTTTCTGCTGAGATGCAGGGGAGTAGTGCCGTCTTCAGGGAACATCTAGTTATAACTATACTTATACAGGCCGATATATCCACCAGGGGCTAGTGCTTACATCCATGGAACTCATTGCAAACCATTTGATATCATTCATTGGGGGCTCAGATCCAACCCCTACTGCAGACGTTGAATGAATTCACCATTGTCGTTGGTAGGTTCTACCCCATTCATCTCTTTTTGTTTATCTATCGCATTCATCCCCCTCTTCGTTTGGTTCATCCCCCTTCTTTTTTGAGTTCCCTACCATCTACCTATCATTTACCTTCGGCCATTCAAAGTGACCTTCGGCCCGGCCCAGGAGCAGTTCGGCTCGCCCAACGCTGCGTGCTGCAAGGCACTGCACGAAGTGATGGCAGCCACTGATCCGTTGGAAACGATGGAACTATTGACCTCCCAGGTGGAAAATTGAGAGGATGGAGGAGATATGGTGGGGTAAAGAGCTGTTTCTTGTGGATTGAAAGTTGCATGGTTTATGAATGTTTATGATTCGCTATTGGTTGAACTGGGTCATTTCCATTTTTCAGCCGGTAACCGATGTTTTAGCCATAGCCATTTCTTTTCCTGGTTCTCGACATGGGCCTCCCAGGTTTTCGGGGGATTGGAAGATGATTCATCACACTTGGATGGATTCTGCAGGTCCTGGGGCTTCACCAGCTATCGTTTCGGTGGGACCTCGAAAACGGTGGTCTCAAAATTTGAACCCTCTGGCTCTCTGGTAAAAGTTTACATAACTATGGAAAATCACCGTTTTTAATGGGAAAATCCACTATAAATTGCCATTTTCAATAGCGAACTGTTAAATTACCAGAGGGTAAGTAGTATTTTGAGGTGATGGTAGGGGTGAATAGCTATTCTTGCAGGTTTAAGGATAATGTTTTTCTTGTTGAAATTGTTGTCACGATGCCTCATTGTTGATGGTTGAAATGGGAACTCTCCATTCAGCTGATACAAATTCTAGACAATTCACTAACATCTATTTTCTTCCTGGGTGCTGGTACAAATCAACCAAAACTCCCATCAACTTCTCTAAACTTCACATTCTCAGCATGTGCATCCCAAACAAATCCATAAAAATCCTCCAGACTCCGCATGATTCCTAGCTTTTCCTATAAAAACCCAGTAAAACATGCATCTTCCTTAGGTTTTTGGACATTTTTTCGAGTTCCACAGGTAGAAGTGGCCCTGGGTCGCCTTGAACCACCCCGCGGCTGTGCTCCTGCGGAGCTGCTGCAGGCGGCGCTGCGACGGGAACTGCTGCGCTGCCTGTGGTGCGCCGGGTCCTTCGAAGGCGGGACATTTTCTGGAAAACGGGAAAAAATGGGGTTTGAAGGGACTTCCGACTTTGGCTTTTTGATGGTTCTAAACTGTTCGAAATGTTTTATTATTATTATTTTGGATAGTTTTTCGAAGGGAATTTCCCATGGTTTTAAGCGTGTTTTCTGGATTTTGGATAGTTTTTGAAGAGACGAACATCACGTTTTTTTTGATGGGTTTTGAATGGATTTCACGTGGCTTCGGGATGGGATGGATGGATCTTTTCCAACAAAACCGGAGTTCCGCCCATTCAACCGGTGGCGAGAGGAGCAACTTCAGGGTACAAAAACCCATTGAAAACCCATAGAAATCCACGGAATCTGCCATGGAATCTGCCATGGAAAAGCCCGTGGCTCAGGTCATCCAGGTCCCGGTGTCTTCGACGATGCCTGGCTGCTGCGACAGCTGCCGCGGTCTCCGGAGGCGCTGCTGGAGGAAGCTGCCGAGGAGGAGATGCTGCGGCGGGAGAACGAGTTCCTGGATCGATATCTGGTGAGGCTCATGAAGCTGAAACGCCACCTGGATGAAAAATCCGGCGGGATTTCATGGGATTTCATTGATTTAAGACATTTAAGACCTGAGAATGATGGGGACATGCCCAATTTGGTGGAGAATGAACATGGGTTCTTTTTCGTTCCAGGGCATCAAAGGTCATCAAAGGTTCTTTTTTCATGGGCCCAAGCCCAGCTGCATCGCACAATTGGATGAAGAAGAAGATCAAAACAGCTGAAACCCGTGAATCCCCTTGGGATTTTCACTGATTTTCATGGTGCTCCTATGGTTTCCCCTAGATCTTCCCATGGTAAAATACAGCGATCCCGCAATCCCGTGCCCTGGATCCCAGGCAGTTTGAGCTTCCTCTTGGAGACCTGGCAGAAGGTGGATCACTATCAGATTCTGGGCGTCAGCAGCTCCGCGAGTGATAAGGAGCTACGGAATGCCTATCGCAAGGCTTGCCTCAGGTGGGGTGGCAGAACGGGTGAACGGGTGCAGAACGGGTGTTTTGAGAGAGAAATATGGACTATATAGATTCCCAGATCTTAGATTTTAGACTTAGATCTTAGATCTTGGAAACGGTTAGGTGTTGTGGATAAATGGACTGACTTAGTGACTTAGATGGGGGTTTCCTAAGTGGGGTATCCCCAAGTCACCATGGTTGTTTCAATACTAAGTTATGGTCTAAATGACTGAACCATTTGGGGTGCCCCCACGACTTAGGAAAACCTCCAGGTGAGTGCGGTGATACTGTGAGCATTCGACCGCTACTTCCTGGGGGATGGCTACTTCACCATGCCTGGGGGTCCCTTTAAATCATCCCAAAAGCGGCCAAGACCCAATTTCATAAACCTCAAACTTGGGGATGGTTTATATATTATATATTATTGGGTTTCTCTGGGTTTCCCTCACTACCTTAGATATGGGTTCATATAATAACCTTTTGTGAAGTTGATTTGAAGTATATAATCTTTTGTTCATATATAATGATAACCTTATGTGACGTTTTATAATAACCTTTTGTTCATATATATATATATATATGTATATAATAACCCAGTGAGATATCATGATTTGAAGTTGATCTCTGGACTTTTTAGCCAAATCCGACGACTGGGAGTTGACGGTCACGGTTTTTCCGAAAAAAGGCCTGGGGTTCACCATGAATTCAAGCAGCGAAAACAAGCCATGATACTGGAACAACACTCGAAGTTTTCCATCACCTCTTGGATCCACATTTTGTTGGCATTTCGGCTGTGGATTCGAAACTTTTCATGTACCCGGCCTGGTAATCTGTTACAGTTCGCGAACTGGAAAATGGCCCATAGAAATAGTTGATTTACCGAACTTAAAGAAGGTGATTTTCCAGTTCGCTATGTTAGTTTACCAGAGGGTATGAGTCAACCTTTTTTGGGCCCCACAGCCTATAGATGTTGATCTTTCTGGTGCAGGTTGCATCCTGATAAAGGTGGTGACAAGCAACAGTTCCAACAGCTGCAGGCGCATCAGGGGCGGCCTTTGGAGGTGTTCATTCTCAGATCGCGGATGACATTGCCACAGGGAGTTGTTTTTTAAATATGGGACAGCCAAGAAGAATGTGACTTTACGGCCTGGTTGGTGGCGACTGGAACCATGGAATTTTTAATGACTTTCCCATTTTCAGTTGGGAATTTCAGAAAATCCCAACTGACGATTCGGTGACTCATATTTTTCAGAGGGGTTGGGTCGGGGTAGGGCTCAACCACCAACCAGTGGTGAATTCATGGGCATATCATAGGACTCTGATGGCTTTCTTCAGTCATGGGATCCCCAGTCGTCACCAAGGACTTGGACCATGACTGGGGTACCCCCATGACGTCGGAAACCTCCAGCCACGGCCCAAATTTCGGGCATGGTTTCGCCTCTGGTAAACATACCAAAAACAATGGAAAGATCCACCATTTTTCATGGGTAAAGCAACTATTTCTATGGCCATTTTCAATAGCAAACTGTAACAGATTACCAGAGGTGTAGTAATCGAATCACGAATCACTGACGAACGAGGGAAATTCATTGGGTTAGCCAGAGATGGATCCTTTTTTCTGGTTGCGAATCAAGTGTCCATGGCCATCTTTCGCCAGAGCAATGGAGGTAGAGAACCAGCCCATGATATCTAGCCAAAAAGAGGTCTAGCTGGCTAGATTCTTCCATAGACTTTCTTTTCTCCTCTTTCCTTTGATTCTCATTTGTTTAGTTGTGTTTGAACCCATTTTTCTTAGTCAACCTGTAACTTTTTAATCTCCTGCTGCTCCCAACCCCTACTGTTTTCCTAGTTTATCTCTGTTTCACCACGGTTTTCACCACGGTGAAATCAGCATTTCTCCAGGATTCCTACGCGCGGATCTTGGAAGAACGACAGCGCCAAGCCGCCCCGCCAGAGCGGCCGCCCTCCATGCCGGGCCGGCCGCGGGGCTCACAAGGTCCGTCGCTGTCCATTGAGGCTGAGGTGCGCGGAGGACCATGTGGAGCATGTTCATCAATTTAAGGTTATGATATTCTTATTAAGGTTATCTGGTTGGTTTTCCATATATTGATGAACTATTATAAGGTTATTATTTAATAATATACCAGTAGTACCCGCACGAGGCGGGGCGGAAGTTGCCTTAAAGATATATATGAGACCTTTCTCATCTATAGAACTTGCATGCGCCGTGCGCCAGCGAAGCCCGTGCGTGCGTGCACTCTGCGAAACTGGTGTCTTGTTTCACATGTCACATTTGAAGCTCCACGTCACACTTCACACTTGACAGTCTTCACACTCCACACTACACACTGCACTCTTCACACTGCACTCTGCGCACTGCGCACTCCACACTTCACACTTCACACTCCACACTTCACACTTCACACTGCACGCTTCCCACTGCACACTCCACACTTCACACTTCACACTCCACACTTCACACTTCACAGTCCACACTTCACACTTCACACTCCACACTTCACAGTCCACACTTCACACTCCACACTTCACACTGCACTCTTCACGCCCCACACTGCACACTGCACCCTTCACACTCCACACTTCATCTCATCTGAGCTCTTCTCACCTTATCCCAGCTCATCTCTTCTGATCTCATCTCTTCTCATATGTCATCTAAACTTTCATGAATCACTTCCCAGTCCTACTACTAAGGAAATGGATCTCGACGCTAAAGCGACAAAAAGACGATCTTGAAGCACTTTTTAAAAGGAATTTTAAAAGGAAAATTATTAGCGCCAAAATTGAGAAAATCTGCTGACAAATCACTTTCGCAGCCTTGATGCAGCCATTCCAATACGATTTACGATCTTCAGCTGCAAAAGAGAGAATAGTATTACGCATGCAGCCGCTGCACCAAGCAACCTTGACGCAGCCACTACAATGCGATCTGCAGGGACTGACTTGCAAAACACAATAGAACTACGTGCAATGGCGTCGGAAATTGCAGCTCCAAAACCGGATCTCGACGCCAAAGCGAAAAAAATACGATTTTGAAGCACTTTTCAAAAGGAATTTTAAAAGGAAAATTATTAGCGCCAAAATTGAGAAAATCTGCTGACAAATCACTTTCGCAGCCTTGATGCAGCCATTCCAATACGATTTACGATCTTCAGCTGCAAAAGACAATAGTATTACGCATGCAGCCGCTGCGCCAAGCAACCTTGACGCAGCCACTACAATGCGATCTGCAGAGACTGAGTTGCAAAACACAATAGAAACTACGTGCAATGGCGTCGGAAATTGCAGCTCCAAAACCGGATCTCGACGCCAAAGCGACAAAAAGACGATTTTGAAGCACTTTTTAAAAGGAATTTTAAAAGGAAAATTATTAGCGCCAAAATTGAGAAAATCTGCTGACAAATCACTGTCGCAGCCTGGATGCAGCCATTCGAATACGATTTACGATCTTCAACTGCAAAAGACAATAGTATTACGCATGCAGCCGCGGCACCGAGCAACCTTGACGCAGCCATTCCAATGCGATCTGCAGAGACAGAGTTGCAAAACACAATAGAACTACGTGCAATGGCGTCGGAAATTGCAGCTCCAAAACTGGATCTCGACGCCAAAGCGACAAAAAGACGATTTTGAAGCACTTTTTAAAAGGAATTTTAAAAGGAAAATTACTAGCGCCAAAATTGGGAAAATCTGCTGACAAATCACTTTCGCAGCCTTGATGCAGCCATTCGAATACGATTTACGATCTTCAGCTGCAAAAGACAATAGTATTACGCATGCAGCCGCTGCGCCAAGCAACCTTGACGCAGCCATTCCAATGCGATCTGCAGAGACTGAGTTGCAAAACACAATAGAACTACGTGCAATGCGTCGGAAATTGAAGCTCCAAAACTGGATCTCGACGCCAAAGCGAAAAAAACACGATTTTGAAACACTTTTTAAAAGCAATTTTGAAAGAAAAATTATTAACGCCAAAATTGAGAAAATCTGCTGACAAATCACTTTCGCAGCCTTGATGCAGCCCTTCCAATACGATTTACGATCTTCAGCTGCAAAAGACAATAGTATTACGCATGCAGCCGCTGCACCAAGCAACCTTGACGCAGCCACTACAATGCGATCTGCAGAGACTGAGTTGCAAAACACAAGAAAACTACGTGCAATGGCCTCGGAAATTGCAGCTCCAAAACCGGATGTCGACGCCCAAGCGAAAAAAATACGATTTTGAAGCACTTTTCAAAAGGAATTTTAAAAGAAAAATTATTAGCGCCAAAATTGAGACAATCTCCTGACAAATGACTATCGCAGCCTGGATGCAGCCACTCCAATACAGATTCCAAAACACCCTATAACTACGCACACACACAAGCACACCCAAAGCAGCTTGAAGCCACCGTGACACTGCGGCAAAAAAAAAACGATAAACCGACCGCAGCCGCAACCGTCGCACACACGAGGTACCTTTCATCGTCGCCTGCAGCCACTTTACACGGAAAAACACAAGGTTTCGTGCTCCGGCTTCCTCCCCAAAACATAGCCCATGCAACATCATGCAGCCATTCCAATGGGATCTGCAACCACAGATTCCAAAACACCCTATAACTACGCACACACAACCACACCCAAAGCAGCTTGAAGCCACCGTGACACTGCGGCAAAAAAAACGATAAACCGACCGCAGCCGCAACCGCCGCACAGACGAGGTACCTTTCATCGCCGGCTGCAGCCACTTTACACGGAAAAACACAAGGTTTCGTGCTCCGGCTTCCTCCCCAACACAAAGCCCATGCAACATCATGCAGCCATTCCAATGCGATCTGCTACCACAGCTTCCAAAACACCCTATAAACTACGCACACACAACCACACCCAAAGCAGCTTGAAGCCACCGTGACACTGCGGCAAAAAAAAACGATAAACCGACCGCAGCCGCACCCGTCGCACAGACGAGGTACCTTTCATCGTCGCCTGCAGCCACTTTACACGGAAAAACACAAGGTTTCGTGCTCCGGCTTCCTCCCCAAAACATAGCCCATGCAAGATCATGCAGCCATTCCAATGCGATCTGCAAGCACAGCTTCAAGAAGCGCATAGAACTACGCACACAGGAACAACCACTCGTTGCAAAACACATAGGAGGAACAATTCGCGACAGAAACGACCCCAGCCGCAACCGCCGCACAGACGAGGTACCTTTCATCGCCGGCTGCAGCCACTTTACACGGAAAAACACAAGGTTTCATGCTCCGGCTTCCTCCCCAACTCACCCCTTCCCTTCCTCACCACTTCCCATCGTCACCACTTCCCATCGTCACCACCTCCCTTCCTCACCACTTCCCTTCCTCACTACTTCCCTTCCTCACCACTTCCCTTCGTCCCCACCTCCCTTCCTCACCATTCCCCTTCATCATCACTTCCCTTGGTCACCACTTCCCTTCGTCACCACTTCCCTTCGTCACCGCTTCCCTTCGTCACCACTTCCCTTCTTCACCACTTCCCTTCGTCACCACTTCCCTTCGTCACCGCTTCCCTTCGTCACCACTTCCCTTCGTCACCACTTCCCTTCTTCACCACTTCCCTTCGTCACCACTTCCCTTCGTCACCACCCCGTCATTGTCACCACCCTTATTCTTTTGTTATGTATTGTTATGTTATGTATTGATATACGATCTACCGCCCTTCATCATTTCAAGTCTCAGAATTCTATTTGTCCGTAACACGGAAGTATTGCTTCCCAACTTCCTTTGATAATATCCATATTTAAGAACAACCTTGGAGAATCCAGTATATGGATATTATTCCAGCACTGGTTATGGTTTTGCTATGGATAACCTTAACCTTATGTTATGTTATCCAGTGTATCTCCAACCAGTGCTGGTTAAATTTCTCCAGTGTGGCCCCATGATATCTGGGTGGTTTTCCATATATTGGGAATTTCATGATCCCAACTGACGAACTCATATTTGTCAGAGGGGTAGGTATACCACCAACCAGTTAATGTGATAAATATTTTAAAAACATGTTATGAATCGTTAAATTAAGGTTACATTAAATGTGAAACATAGTATGACATGTGAAAAAACATAGGGATTTAATTTAAGGTCATAATTTATAATATATATATATAAATACATGATTGGTATAGCGATATACTTTGTTATACACGTAAACATGACTTTTATTAATTTCACGCCTCAATTTTTGTAGTGTGTCAACCGATTGGTACATGGCAGGTGAAGATGAGCTGGGCTATATATATATATATCAATGCATATATATATATATACACATGATAATCGTAATAAAACATCCTCAATAGTATAGAAAGATTAATCAAAGACATACTATAATGATCATAACTTATAATATAATATAGATAGATCACACACACATATACATATATATATATATGAATACGTATATATATATATACGGTATATAATGGGGTGTATATATATATGTATATAACACATACCTTTTCTTGCCATAAGCACACCGTTGCCAGACGTCACCGCCTGACCCACGCTGGTCCTCCGAAACGGCGGAAGTTTCGCAGTGCATCACGAGCTTCCAGCGGCGAGCGGAGGCGGTTCGCAAGGGGTGGAACATGGCAGAATAGATTGGGATACATACATGGAAAAACATAGACATGATGGATAATTACGATTGTCCTGAGAAGATATTGGGAAATTCAGATGATGATGATGATGATGATGATGATGATATGCTCACCCCGCCCACCAGGACCTACCTTTTTTTCTATTCCATTGACTGTTTCATTGCAAGGTCAACCATCTGCTATCTGAAAAAAAACAAGAAGAAGAACAAAAACACACAAAAAAAACAATGCATTGGAGAGCCTTCTCCCCTCACCCAGTCCCAAAGTAGGTCACCCAAACCTTGTTTTGGTGTTGTTCAAGGATTTGATCACTAGGATTAAGCCAGATTAATCCAGATTAATCCAGGCCAAATCTGATTCATCTGGCCTCTAAGGCATCATGTGTCTATCAAATGCATCCTTCACAAACCATAATCAAAAAAGTATTGTATGCTAAACATGCGCAGGTATTCCTTGGGGATGTGCAATTTTCCTTTTAGGTGTGAGGCCTTTGGGAATATACCATTCTCCTTGTGGTGAGTGAAGCCTTTCCTTCAAATAAATGGCGTTCCTGTCCAAATAGAGGGCAGCTGGGTTTCTTTGAAAGGAGTGTTGCATAGGTTCAAAGAAACGGTGTGATTGAAAGGAGTGCTACATATGTTCAAAGAAATTGTATGATTATCAAACAAAAAGGACAACTGATTCAATTTTCCTTTTGATGAGTGAAGCCTTTTGTTCAAATAAATGGTGTTCCTGTCCAAATAGAGGGCAGCTGGGTTTCTTTGAAAGGAGTGTTCCCTATGTTCAAAGAAATGGTGTTACCTTCGAACATAAAGGACAGCTGAGCTTCTTCGAGAGGAGTACTACATCTTGAAAGGATACACTGCATATTCCGAGAAAAAACAATAGCTTTTAGGTTAACTATTCAATCTTTGAAGAAATGGCATCTGTTGGAGGGAATGGTACCATGATAAAGAAATAACACAGGAATACCGCACTTTAAAACACAATACACTTTGTAGCGGACTTATATCTTTTTTCAAAACAAGGGGGGGCCTGAGAACCCAAAAGCAAAACGACAGCAAACAAATGAGAGTAATACTGATAATTGGTTTGTTTCTTTTTCGCCTCTTGCCAGCTTCTTTTTAGAAGATGAACATTATGGACGCATTCACTGCAAATTTCATTTTTCCCCATCTGCCAGGTGAGGGTTGTTTGATTTTATCAGAGTTGTTCTCCTCGGCTAGCTGTCCTCCTCGTCCTCCTCGTCCTCCGCCTTCTCCTCCTCCTCTGCCTCCTCCTCCAGTTTCTCCTCGATCATGTCTGCATCAACTTCCACCTCAACTTCCGCCTTGCCAACTCTTCGCCAAGCTCTTTGCCAACTTCCCAGCTCAGTGTGCACCGCTGGACCTCAACCTGGGACCAAACAGCTCAGTGTGCACCGCTGGACCTCAACCTGCGGCCTTCCCAGCTCAGTGTGCACCGCTGGACCTCAACCTGGGACCTTCCCAGCTCTGCGTGCACTGCTGGACCTCAACGGCCAGATAGAATACCAGAAGATATGCCAGATAGAGTGTTAGAAGATATGTCAGATGGAATGCCAGGAGATATGCCAGAACATATTGCAGAAGATATGCCATGTAGAATGCCAGAAGATATGCCAGAAGATATGCCAGAAGATATGCTAGATAAAATGCCAGAAGATATGTCAGATAGAATGCCAGAAGATTTGCCAGTAACAAAACGTATAAATATCATGGTGGGGATAACTCGAAGTAAAGTAATTTCAGCACTGCGCGGAAACATTGAGTGACAGTGTGCAATAGCCAAGCAAGCTCATTTGAGCACGGTCATGCGACGGCGGCTGATTTCCAAATCAACCTCTCACCTCTCCTTTCCTTTCCCTTCCTTCCCTTCCTTTTCCGTCCTTTCCCTTCCTTTCCCTTCCTTTTCCGTCCTTTCCCTTCCTTTCCCTTTCTTTCCCTTTCTTTCCCTTCCTTTCCCTTTCTTTCCGTTCCTTTCCCGTCCTTTCCATTCCTTTCCCTTCCTTTCCCTTCCTGTCCCTTCCGTTCCCTTCCTTTCCCTTTCTTTCCCGAATGCGTAGCAAGGGTTCCCGTTGCCCAACCGTCCGCAACCACTCGCAACCGTCCGCGCGATTGCTATATGGCCGTGCCTCTGGTAAGTTCTCCAAAAGGGGTAATTTTTGCGTTTCGCGTGGCAGGCGTGGCACTTCGTGACATTCAGACGTGTTTTGTAACGTGTCGAAAGTCATTGTGTGTGGCAGGCGCAATACTTTTGCGACGTTTTCAGAAGATGCGTTGCAGTTCTCGTGGCAGGCGCAGCACTTTGGACGTGTCCATCGTCATTTTGCATGGCAGGCGCAGCACTTTAGACGCGTAGTGTTGCGTGTTTTTTACGAGGCGCATTGGCAGGGCTGCGTCAAGTGGCGACAAGGTGCAGATTCCGTGGCAGACGTGGCATTTTGTGAGATGTGCTGAAAATTGACGGAAGCCTCCCACGAAACATCGATTTTGAGGTAGCAAATTTAAAGGCTCGTACGAAAACTCGTGGGAAAATTTTGAAGCTACAAAGTGTGAAAATTGGAGGAAGTCTCGCACGAAAGGCTCGTTTTGATGCTCCCACATCTCTCGTCTCAAGTCTCTGGTTTTCCTGTGGCGTCGCCGTGTCTATGGGGGAAGCTGCAAAATCTCTCCTTTTCGAAGGTTTCCAAGCAGGTTGTCATGTCGTTTTGCGTGGCAGGGGTGGCACTTTACACTACACTCCCCATTCCACACTCCACACTGCACACTCTACACTCCACCACACCCTACACTTTGCACACTCCTCACTCCACACTTTACACTTTACACTCTACACGCCACACTCCACACTCGACACTTTCCACTCCACACTCTACACTCCACACTTTACACTCCACACGCCTCACTTCACAATTTACACTTTACACTCCTCACACCACACTCTACAATTTACACTTTGCACTTTCCACTCCCCCTTCACACTCTACACTTTACACTCTACACTCCACAGTTTACACTTTGGACTCCACACTTTAAACTTTGCACTCCACACTTTACACTCCTACACACTCCACACTCTACACCCCACGCTCCACCACACTCCACACTCTACACCCCACACTCCACCACACTCCACACTCTACACCCCACACTCCACCACACTCCACACTTTACACTCCACACTCCACAAACTATACTTTCCACTCCACACTCCACACTTTACACTCCACACTCCTCACTCCACAATTTACACATTACACTCCTCACTCCACACTCTACACTTTACACTTTGCACTTTGCACTCCTCACTCCACACTTTACACTCCACACTTTACTCTCCACACTCCGCACTCTACACTTTACGCTGTACACTTTACACTCTACACTCCACACTTTACATTTTCAACTCCTCACTCCACACTTTACATTTTACACTCCTCACTCCACTCCACACTCCGCACTCTACACTTTCCACTCCACACTTCACACTCTGCACTTTTCACTCCACACTCCGCACTCTACACTTTACACTCCATACTCTTCACTTTACATTTTTCACTCCACACTTTACATTTTACACTCCTCACTCCACGCTTTACACCCCACACTCCACACTTCCCACTTTACACTCCACACTCTACACTTTACACTCCACACTTTACACTCCACACTCCTCACTTTATACTCCACACTCCACACTCTACACTTTCCACTCCACACTCTACACTTTACACTCCTCACTCCTCACTCCACACTTTATACTTTACACGCCACACTTTACAGTTTGCACTTTACACTCCTCACTCAACACTTTACACTCCACACTCCACACTTTACACTCCACACTCCACACATCCACCTCTAACATTTTATATTACACTCCTCACTCCACTCTTTAAAACCCCCACACTCCACACTTCCACACTTATAACACTTCCACAGCTAACACTTTACACTCCACACTTTACACTCCACACTTTTACGCTCCACACTCCACAGTCTACACTTTACACTCCACACTCTACACTCCACACTCCACACTTTACCCACTGCACACTCCACACTTTACACTCCACACTCCTCACTCCACACTTTACACTCCACACTTCCCACTTTACACTCCACACACTACACTTTACACTCCACACTCCACACTTTACACTCCACACGCCGCACTCTACACTTTACACTCTACACTCCACACTCTACACTGTCCACTCCACACTGCAGACTGGTAACAGGGGAAGTATGTAAATACAAGACTGTTCAAATAAACTATTGCAGAAAATTGTTCTGAGTGACTGCATATCCATTAACGTACGTGTGAGCATTCGGGTTCGTGGGCTGCATCTTGTTCTTCTCCCCGCCCATTTCCAGCCACTCCCTTGCACCCACGCCGTCCGCAGCCGTCCGCGCCATTCTCCGCACCCATTTCCCGTCCGCAGCCGTCCGCGCAGCCAAGCTCGCTCATCTCCAGCGGCTTCTTCTCCCCACCCATTTCCAGCCACTCCCTTGCACCCACGCCGTCCGCAGCCGTCCGCGCAATTCTCCCCACCCATTTGCCGTCCGCAGCCAAGCTCGCTCATCACCAGCGGCTTCTTCTCCCGAACCATTTCCAGCCACTCCCTTGCACCCACGCCGTCCGCAGCCGTCCGCGCAATTCTCCGCACCCATTTGCCGTCCGCAGCCGTCCGCGCAATTCTCCCAACCCATTTGCTTCAGCAGCCGTCCGCGCAGCCAAGCCCGCTCATCATCAGCGGCTTCTCCTCCCCACCCATTTCCAACCACTCAGTTGCACCGTCCGCAGCCGTCCGCGCAGCCAAGCTCGCTCATCACTAGCGGCTTACTCCCCCACCCATTTCCAACCACTTCCTTGCACCCACGCCGTCCGCAGCCGTCCACGCCATTCTCCGCACCCATTTCCCGTCCGCAGCCGTCCGCGCAGCCA